ACCCGTGTGGCAAAGTATACCACACTAATGGTTACGATTAATGTAATCTTCCTATGATCATAGTTTTTGTCTATACTGCCAATGGCAACTCTGTTCTTATATATTAGTCAATTCGGGAGACTTATTTTAAGTTCTTATCGTCTTATATTGAATTTTTATTTACGTATTACTGAGGTTTCAGGGGTAACATAATCAATGTATATTACAGGTTGACCCGAGTGGTTATCAAAAAAGCCAATTTTCATGTGACGTTTTATATTCTTTCAAATATATGCTAGTCAGGGAGACAGTGCCTTTATTGAAAAAAGCATTCGGCGCTCTCGACAGGGCCCATAAGGGGTGCGTACGATCAATACAGAATATGGTGTTAATAAAGAGCCAGTTATGATGGGGCCTACAAAACATACATATATGAACTGATATCATACGTGTTCCTACTGAACCAACTAGGGCAAGTTTGGTGTTTCCTTCTATCAGTAGTAAACACTCGGTGAAAACGTGTGGAAAATACCACCTCGATCGTAACTGCTAGGTTATTTACGTGTGTACTGGTTGTACGTCATACATATAGTGGCATAGCGAAGTAGCGTATGAAGAGCGCGGCTTTGTTAGTTAGTAACTGGTATACGTAATTTGACATCCTATTGAAAGGACTACACTACAACAATAGAAAGGCTCAAATTTTCGTTGTTTAGGAATGACCCTCTGAGGAATTTGCAGATTTCTGGGCAAAGTTCATTGGTGTTGTTTACAGGCCATGTTGAATATGAGATTAGGAAAACGTGGTTGTACTTGTCTATGGTGTTCAAATTTCTTTGGTTCGCTACTAAGCGTTCCTTCAAATTATGATAAATTTGCAATGTCTATCAGGGATACCGACAATCTTATGGGGTGGGTATTATAGCAAGACGGGTGGTGCTATTATACAAGATCCCTCAATTAAGTGGGTAAAAAAATAACTAATGTGTAAACAGGCGGTTAATTCGCCATGGCAGCAGCAATACCAGCTAGAATTATCTGTTCAATCTGGTTTACTAACGATTGAAACTGCTGAGAAAATAGTTTTTCAGTGTCACAAATATTTAATTAGTCTTAAGGTTAAAGTCGTTGTATAAAGATGCGAATTTATATTCACCTGAAAAAATGCAACGAGGTTCTTCCAACGCGATGAGCATGTATACAAAACTGGACCATCATACAGAAAATATCATTTACTATACAACTAAAACCAAACTACTAAACAACAAAAAGGATAGTGCGTATCTCTTTGTTCGGTCATGTGGTTATTTGTCGTCTTCGTGCAGTTTCGGCTGTCTTTTTCCAACCAGAGGGAAGTAACTGCTATTATACTCTATCGTTTTTTTGCATCACTTTCTGTTACAGTGTTTGACAAGAATTTCGTAAGCGTATGATGGGAAATGGTATACTAATATTGCTTTAGTAAGGCTAACTTTTTATTTACTGCCAGGGTTACGTCCCGCGACGGGCAGTGCTCGATATTGAATTCATTGGATGAACACCTTTTTCAAAGTAGGTAGTAAGTGTATGATGCTCATTTAGACTAGTTGACCATTTTTTGGCAGTTCGTACGATCGTTGAAAGCTTGTTAATGGTTTATATTGGGGATTTATCTTTGTTTCTCAAGTTCCACGGATCTTCGAGACAATTTTCGCTTTTCATCTCTTTGGTTTGAGAGGTACAATTGTGACTTCTGTCGAAGTGGTTCACAACTGATGACGTATAAACCATCTTAATTAATATTCTTTGATTGTAGGAATACCTTTTTCAAGAAGACAGCTTTTTTAGGCTACAATTAAAATTTGGTTAATTGACGAAATGACTTGTAATTGATAAAATATGAACCATCATGGCGTATTGTTCATAATTTTAATCAGCCTGTAAGGTGCCGTTCCGGGACCTTTTTCGTTTATTATACGTGATAGAATATGTGTAGTTCTCAGATGAGCAGACACATTGGCTTCTTACGCGACCTGTAAAATAAGCATATGATTGAACTGGGCAGACTAAATGATGTTAACGGCATGTTGAGTAATGATGAAGACCACTTCAATTAAATTTTATATTCGTTTTTACCCTGGGAGGTAGGACCAGGCACTAAATCGTAAATATGGTACACAACGAGGTAGTTTAGTGTCTGAATCACCGTTGAGATTTTCGTAGAAAGATATATTCTACGAGATAGAACATTTCTTAGGTAAACGTTAAAAAGCTAAACATCCTGACTCAATCGTGGCATGTAAGGGTTTCATTATAAAGTGAAGAAGTTCCCGTAGAGGACCTTTGGCTAAGTTAGTTAACATACTTCAAAGGTGACGAGGACCCAATACACCGAGTCCGGAAAGCGGAGCTGCGGTGAACGAGTGCCGCTACAGTTAGCACCATTGCTTGTTAAGTACGGAGAGTGTCCGTTCGGGCGCACTTTCAAAATATATTAGATGATATATTCTATTTAGTGAGTCGGGATATGGAGCCTGTGATTGCTGCTATATGTTTGTCTACTATCACTATACTATAAGGCCACTTAAATCTGTCTGAATTTAAATCTAGCTTTAGTTTCGTGGCTATAGGAAAGGTAATGGGTATATAATAGTGATTTGTAATAACGTTGTACCATTTTAATTGTAATAAATTTACTCCCCTGACGAGCAGTGTAAAGAGGTGCCTAACAGCGGTATCGAAACCAGTCGTACAAAATATAGCCAAACGTTCTTTCAGCTTGTACCTTTCTCGTAGTTAATTGAAACATACATAAAATTAAAAGCCTAGCTCTTTTATTGTGTTGAGATTAGCCAAAGCTATTACATAGGCTGACACAGACATTCCTCGCTCCACTGCAAGTCATTAATGTCAATGTTTTCTACGTATTAAAGGATGAAGAACTGGACATGAGAAGGGCAAAGCATCTTTCATGTGAGTCAGATGTTGACTCCACTTTAACAGCTATATTTGGTTTCACTCAACGTCCCCTACCCATTAAGCCCAAGCTCCTTACTTATACAACTCATACATTACACTCCTTATTCTTTTGATTCCTATTCAAGAATCAGAAGCTCATAGTGCTACAGACGCTACTCTGCGAATCTTCTCCGTCAGACGAACGAGGTGGATTGGAATCCCCAGATCTGACCACTCACCAGAGAAAGTAATGAAGTAGAGTGGTGTGAAAGTTGTAAAATATATTAGTTGTAATGGGAAAGCAAATAAGTGCAACTGAGTGTTGCAATTATGAAGCGTGAGTAATAATGTAAGCGTGAGTCACTTACAGGTTAAAAAGATCGTAATACATTTTAATTTAAACTAGTTTAAATTAGATGAAATTTTAACAAAATGTTGGCGCCGCGTACACGATAAAATGTGAGCTTTATGCAGAAGAAGCGAACTTTGGTTTATATGAAAATGTCGAATCCTTATTCGGTCCATATCGGTTTCTCGCTCGGTAGTAAGACACGTGCAATGTAGTAACCTAGTAAGTGTAATCTGCAAACTAGATAATTAAGGCAGGAGAATCGTCTAATTGCAACTAAGTAATTACGCTGTCATAACTTCTCGTAAGGGAACAGGGTCACTGTAACAGAGTAACCGAAATGGAGCTACAAGTTAGGCTAGATGTCTTAATTACCTAAACACCATAATACCATATAATTGCAACAAGATGCTATAGCACTATGACGACAACACGATTTTAAAAAATCATGTTCATTAAAAAGACGTTTTAATGGAAAAAAGGGATAGTTGAAGCGGGTAACTGCGATAAAATTACTGTCAGTGTATACCCAAGCTACAAGTTACTCTACACCCAATGTAACATCAAAAAATCACATTAGCTTAATTAATCCAGAGTGAATGGGACGTTTTTACTAGATGATTCTTCAAAAGTTTTATTCGAGTCCTGCCTCCCTTGGCCGCCGCCTGTATCAGGAAAAGAAGGACTTCACATGTCTGTATTAATATTACAAGGAAGCTTCAGCTTTTGCTACTGCTTACGAAATTATTTTTTACTTAGATTTGACTGTTACTAGCCGAATCTGCTATTGCCACATTTTTCCATATATTCAACCATCTGATATATTATTACCACAGTATCTGGTCTGTCATGATTTTTCATATTCACCTGTCCTGGGTATATCAAGCTTTAATTGATATTTACTGTAGTGACCCCTATTTCAACTATTTGTAGCGGCACATTGTACAGCTGGAACCTTTTTTGTTTTAGTCGCTCGTATGCTTACTAACCTCAAATAGATCAAGTTAACTGAACGTGTAGGCGTAAATATATGGGAAAATTTTGTCAATATATAAAACTGCAGGGATCGGTAACAATAAACAAGTTTGAAAAATACGATCCGTTATGCCTATATCGAAGCTGGCAACCACGACCGGTGAGCTATCAACAAGGCGATAATTCTTCGACCTAAAGCATAACTCATATATGACAGTGGTAACGAGGTCTCCATCCGAGACCCACCTAAGTGAGACCGAATGGCAATCCATCCGATTGATCTCCGCCATGTTTCACGCGGTGGGGCTCTACGGAGGGAGCAGTGACGCCATATGCATGGACGCCAATACAGGCAGACTGTCTGATGGCTGGATAACCGAACGCAGCGGACTCTAAGAGTATACATTCCAGAACAGTACAAAGAAGGTGTTCTCCGGTAAAAGCAAAAATCAAGAAGCCAGCGGAGCCGGATCCCAAAGTATATCGTCAGTACCAGTGACGGAATCGAATTTCGTGATACACGTGAAGAATGATACTGTAGGAAGGATAAGGAAGAACTGGTGCCACGGGGCTAATGCCAGTGAAAGTAGCCTTGGAAAGTAGCCAACGAATAGTTGCCAAACCAGGCGACATACAGAAGCTGAAAACGAAATTTATAGTGTAAGTACGCAAGGAATTAGTCTATAACTATGGTTTAAGGATAAAAAATTCCATTTTAATCGATTAGAAATACTCCTCTCGTTTACTGTATTAACAATAACTATGGTATTTCCTTCATAATCACTTTTCAAAAGCCGATATTTATTTAATATTACGTAAAACAAAGTAACGTGGCAAGTGTCTCATAGCTAGTTCGTGTACAATTGATATCACCATTGAATTCTGAAACGTGAAAGCACAACTGATGCGATAAACACATTCTTTATTGAACGATAATCATATGCCTAAATAATATTTAGGCAATGATTTCCGCTATAGTGGACTTCCACGAATAGTTTTATTTAATAAATAACTATACACGCATAATCACTGCAATAATGATGCTAACATAAGTGATTGCTCATTCACTTATTACTATGTTAGTTTATGTTAATTGTTGCTATTAGCTATATCCTCTGAAGCTTAAAAATATGAGTTGCTTGTGCTGCAGTTGCAGGTAAACTACAACCAATGACAACACGAAACACGAAAAATTGGAACGAAATCATAATCACACAATCCAAAATAGTTCTAAACCAGCAGGTCCTAAAGACTACACAATCATATATTTAACTGAGCTTAGCAAATCCGAAAAGTAATCTATTTTCTTATAAAAATAATTTTCTGTAAAGCTAGCGCAGCATTCATATTATGATTCAATTGAGTTTATTGTAATATGCTGCAATATATGCAATATCATAAAACAGGGTGCAAATCATATCTGGATATCTTAATAAGAGTCTTGTTGCCTGGCTCCTTAGCCTTTACAAACACGTAACGTTATGTACACTTCTGAAACTTATTTGAGACAGTGCACATCTTGCACCTCGTTTCCCTAAAGAACATAACAGTTAACCAAGAACATCACTTCAATTTAGTCTGCATATGCGATATACTCCTTTACAATATTTTAGTCAAGTCCTTATCCAAATCAAGAAAGTACATTTGTCAGACAAGTCGCAGAGATCCGCTATTCCAGTAGCAAAAAAATGCATTAAGCTCATACAAAAAAAAAAAAGGCTATTCTATAGCAGCTCTAGGTGGCGCCTCCTTTATCTCGTTTTACTTTCGGATAACGTAAAATAGATACGCACATTGAAACAGGCATAGCTGGAAACCCTCCGTTTCCTTTACGACACAGCCTAGCTATAAAACACACTTTAGCACTGACAAAACAATACTAGATTAGTCCAACCTTGAACACCGATATGAACTAGCTGGAGTAATCTTTACGAATGTATCTCCAAAATTGTATTTTGCATACAAGCTGGTCATATGTGTCTCTTGTGGCTGCTTCAAGATAAAACTCCACACAGCAAACTCAGTTATTACTTCACAGAATGAAACGGCAAGTACAGCAACTGCAGGCCGAAGTGAGACCATCAGTGACCACTTTGCAGTAGTTTCGACATATCGGTTCTTTGCAATAGTATTGTATTATTTGCTGTTCTGTGTACAGGGGTAGCGAGTTCCGTTTGTCACATACAACATACATTAAAAGAAAACGGCAACACGCCAGGCATGCACATCAGTCGTACAGTTTCGGAAGAACAGCCGCTTGGTCTACAAAAGAAAATTCGATAGGCCTGATCTTATCTAAGAAGCTTCAATGGGCTTAACTCGAGCGGTCACATGATAAGAAGCCCAACTTTCAAATCTTTCCGGTTATTGACATGATACACACCACTCAGATTCTCAAATACAACCCGATGATCACCATGCAACTACAAAATTTTGAAGGCTTTTAGATTCTAATTCCCAATCGGAACTAATGTTGGGAGCCGGACCCAAGTGTTACAGCAGCAGAAGCGTAACTCACAGAACTATCTTGTCGGCTCATTACATGGTTACTTTGCGCATACCTAAGGAATTTACAAGAAAACTCCTGACCACTCTGCTGCAGTGTGGCTACGGAATTAAGTAATACACCGATTGGATGTCTTCCGCAGATCGTGTTGCTTGTTTTCTTGAGGTAGGCTGCGAAGCCAGTAGGGTCTAGTGCCTCGATGAGTCTCATACCGTCTCGATCTAGCTTTTCAATGCTCTCCCAGATATCTCCATCAGCCTTGTCGTACTGTTGGTAGCGGAACCTAAAAAAGAGCATCAAGATGTAAGAATCGAAAGAACGTATTTAACTGCATTGCTAAACATATTTTTAAGCTTTACTGCATTGTTTTTTTTATTAAATCTATGTCCAAGCTTATTGCCCCAGCACTTGAAGGACGTTGACAGAGTGTTACAAATCACTAGTGAATTTTTTTCCGAGAAAGCCCCATTGGTTTTCACCGGGCGCATCCCTTCTTAGCGTGGAAAGTACCGAAATTTAGAATTAGTTAACGTCTGGTTAAACAAAACTATACAATCACAAGTTTTGTTTAACACAGGCAAAACAGCGAATAGAGCAGTGCAATTGAGTTTAACGTAAAGCAGCCTTTTTTTTAGTAGGCCAGTTTGACAGAAGAAACTTTCTAGAAAGATCAAAACCACGAAAAGCCGTAGGTACAATTTCGAAGTTGTGCAGTTTCAATGATCTGATTATATCCCTTTCCAAATGCACTGCACTAGTAAAGAACCACACATTTATACCTTTGAAAAACCACCCATGCTCGTAAATTGTAAATTCAATGCGCGACATTGAAAACACGATCATATAGATCATATCCTTCAGCCCTTATCCTTCAGTTCAGATCGTATCCTTCAGTTACATAAAAATGCATGTAAAAACGCTTATTTGGCTTGGACAGTTAAATAAACTGTCCAAGTTTAATTATTTTGTGTGCTTTTTCCATTACTATTATTTACTGCTGATACTAGTTTTTCTATTTTAATACATATTACGTTTTCATATGATAGCAAGGAAAATATATTTCATATAGTTTCGTTGCTATTATTAATTATCTTTTTTAATTAATAATCTTAGGTATTTTATGAATGAATGAGGTTATTTTGCCTATATGCAGCACCAACGTTAGTGCTAAAGTTCATTTGGAAGTGACTTGAATCGCTCACATGCAACTTAATTATCGGTGGAGAATATATTACCTCTCATACAGCAAGCTGCTAATTTAAAAATTTTGTGAGCTAAATTTTTAACTAAAAAAATCTTATGGAAGAGCTCCTGTAAAAGCTAAAGAAACAATGTTGAGGGTTGTACTGGAAACTGACCTCTCACATATGCTTGCGCTTAATATTTAACGTATGTGAAAACAATATACATGTTCGCATTGGTAAAACAAACGGGTGCCATATAATTTACATAATAATAGATAAAGATAAAAATGAAAACGGACTCTCGCTTTTTTGCTCTCACGTTACAACAGCGATTCATCCTTCCATCTTGTAATGAAAAACGGATTCTCTGCAGTAATCGCAGACACTTACATTATACATTTTCGATCATGCAACTATCCGGTGATACATCAGCACTAATTAAATGTAAAACGATAAAAGCTTATGATATCTGCTTGGCGGTCAAGTCCAGGGGTTACACACTGTAACTTCACAATTTCCGATTCATCTATTATGGCTGAAATGTTCTGTCAACAATTGACTGTCGACCTCAGATTGCAAAAATATGTAAACAAAAGTAAACCACCTCTCTGCACCTCAAAAATACAACGGCAGACATGTACGAATTCAAACAAACAATGTTTATTGTCTATCGTCTACGATACGAAGGACATTACCTTCACCGATTACAATTTTTTTTAATTTCGGCAACTTATTGATGGCGAATTTTTTTAGTCGCAACGTGCTGTCACAATTGCCTGTCAAGGTGGTATGCTTCAGTTGCTATGACTAAATGGAAGTTGTAGGAATGAATGGAAGTAGGCCTAATAAAAAAAAAGTTAAAGCCGTTAAAGCCTCATAAACAACAGTTGTACGCACTTCGACTGAGAACAACTTTACTTGTGGAATAAGGCTGAACTAAGATTTTAGTTTAATAATTTCCCTATTAGACGACGCAATTATGTGTATATAATATAATGTCTATCCTTTAATGTATATTACAAAGAAGTTATAATACAGGATATCGTGTAGTACAGGATGACTACAGCATTAGTCTTTCCGGTAATAGAACAAATTGCTATTGCCGCTCTCGTGATCTCGACGCTAATAATTTTCTTAATGCAAAGATTTGAGCTGAACTAAACCGTGAATACATTTAGATCGTCGAAATAAGATCAATACATTAAAAACCTCAAGTAACTCGAAAAATATCCATTTCAAAGAAAAACGTACGATAAGATAATTTACTTGAAGCTACAGGATGAGTTTCCAAGAAAAGAAGAATGAAGTTACAATCTATATCTCGGAATAGATAACAGTTAAACTCAGATAAAAATCAGCAGTATATCCCACAGTTTTTCCATAAACCTTATAGTTCATTTAATATAGAAGGAACAATAACTATAAATCACACTAAGGCGTGTTAATGCTAATACCTCTAATAAGAAAGCGAGAAACTTCATATAGTTCCCAGAAGCCTGACGAATAATACAACTTTTGTAATAGCTACAGAAGAATAAATGCTTCAATGTGCTGACCAAAAATGGCATTACCAGAGACATTTCGCACGGGCTGCAGTGCGCCTACATGTCAATGAAATTTTTTAAATGGCTTTCATACCTGCTGCCCCAGTGGCAGAAATCAGAGCTAACAACGAAACAGACGTCGTCCTGTGCGAGATACTTCGCCAGCGCGCGACCATATATGGCTTCTTTTTCCGTTGTGATGGCACCAACGAGAATTGGCACAATGGTGAATGGACCGTTGGTCTTGCGCTCCATTACCTGAATTATTTTTTTAAATGAAAGAAAAAGAATTTTAGGTCAAAAGTAAAAAATTCTTCACAGACACAAGACAGAGCGTGGTACCGCTGTATGGCCTTATTTTAAAGCCCTGTAAGGCAAGGGGGCTCATACGAGCGTATGAACTGGGGGTATCATTGTTTTGTTGTTCTTACTCTTGTTTGAGTGTTCAGTTAAACTGTTTTTGTTTAATGTACGTAAAAGAAGACCAAACGACTCACCCATATTATGAATAAAAAATAAATAAATCATGAACTAGCGATTGCACCGCTTTTGCTGCAGTGGTTGTGCTGTAGTTTGTAAAAATGTATATTTTCTATCAAATAAATTAACATTTTATTATTATTAAGGTATTCTATGCATATTCTTGCGTTGTAAGACAGCTTGCTGCGTAAACCAAATTTGAGACAAATGGTTTAAAGTTTTTTCTGTATATAATGTTGCAACTAGTAGTTTATCAGATACATTATTAAGACTAACGATCTAGGGTTACGTTGCCACTAACCTTAACACGGATTTCTATTTAAACAATCCTCAGTTCATTTTTCAAATTCATGTTAATCCATAACAATGTTACTTTTTGAAAACAACGTTCGTTCAACCCAATTGAAAGTCCGCCGAATCGATTATTTTAGTTCAAGTTATATTAAATACAGGCATATATATGTAGAGCGGCATAACAATTTCAAGCAAAAATTATCTAAGCTTTATTCCTTTGCAGCATGCCTCAATTCGCTTGCCTGCTCTATTATTTATTAACCTTATTATTATTATTATAACCACGACCAGCAGAGTACTATGTGCACTTGAGTAAGTTTGGGTAAGTCGTATCTTGTAAGTAGTTCAGGAGTAGTATTTTAGGTGACTTGTCTAATTGCTAAAATACGTACGTAAAATTGAAAAAAAAAAAGAACTTAAACTCTTTTTGTCCCTTATCCATGTAAAAATGTTGATTTTCACTACTCGGGATAAACTCGATATTGGACAATTCAGACAACAGCACAGTCTGATGATAAGCAAATGCTATGAATCGATCTGACAACCGACTAAATGCGGGCACAGATCTTATGTTTTCTTTATGTAGCAAGTCCTCAAGAATTTCCAAGATGTTTTAATAGAAACCTTGAACCTAAGGTGGCTAATAAAACATCAGGCATTCTTGGCTTTTACGTGATTAGAGCATCGGATACATAGGCGTAGCTGAAATTACAGTATTTTAGTTGGTAGTGGAACTAACTTTCACAACACGGTAACAGTGGCCAATCTTCAGGTCACTCTCCAATGAGAAGCTATTACATTTAATCATTACAGATATATATAATCACAGGAACCTTTCTTAACGCTGTCTCAGTCATTCTAGATTTGTGAAAAGGAAGTGACCGATCTAATTATGAAGTAGCACGGCCAACTACCTCTTTCCAACATAACAGAATAGAAATTGAGGTTGTAAGCACAATTCTAAAAGACGCGGTGAGTTTTTTTTTTAATAGTAAAAGAAAAATAGTAGACATTTCTATAGGCCAGTAAAGTCGATTAGGCTCATTTGCTGTATCAAGCAAAAAAAATTTGAACTATATCACTTTCAATCCCATTGTGACAACACCACTTCTGCATCTTTTCGAACACTTTGCTGGTCTGTGACCAAAAAGCTTGGTTAGTGCAACAAGGTAAAACATTCTTTTTGCTTAAATGTAGAACGCTCTGTTTTTAATTTGTTCACAATTTAGCGTCTCTTACCTTTGCGACGTATGGAAGATGCATCTCAATAGAGTGTTCGTCTTCATCAGTTCCAAGTGACATTTCCTCAAATAATCCTGTTTTATACAGCTCATCATAGACACCTTTGTCAATTGGAAGGTCCATAAATGGGGTCCTATACGTAGTGGCAGGAGAAAGCGCACAACCGTCTAAGTAGACATGATGCGAAGGCCCTAAAATAAAGATCTTGCGGACGCGGTCTGGATCAATCTGGGCGTAAGCGTATGCTGCTGTTGGACCTGAATACCTGCAAGTGTAATTTGTATAATATTATAATATATATATATATATATTATAAAAATGAGATATATTCAGAGATTATTTGAAGCTGGAAACAATTTAAAAAATTTAAAAATATAAGTGACCGTTACTATTTAAAAAAAAAGTATATATATACTAAACGACCAAACGCCGATGCGCAGTTCAGAAAAAGTAACTTGACAGCGTTTCAGAGCCTTTGTGCTTCGCCAACAAGCTCCGCTTAGGTGATATTAAGATTCACACTCATAACTTAGCATATCGCTTTTCTCTCAAACTGAAATCCACAAAAAAAAACATGAAAGTTCAAATTGCATACGACTCGATTGTATTTGACCATTTCGACAGAATATAAGACTCTAATTTCGGACAAATATAAGTTTCAAATACAACATTTCATTGCCGAACTATTATAAAAATAAACACTTTTGCTAACATTGATGGTTAGATTCTACATATAATTCCATATAAGTTTCAATAGTGAAATACCATTGTAATAAAAAGGCTTTAAAAAAATAGTGTTACTTATTGTCGAGGTAAGAGGTACGTCTGTACCTTACTCTATATTGTAATACAAGAAAGTTTTTGTAGGTATGCATATGCATATATATATATATATATATATATATATATATATATATATGTAACGGTCATCTCAAAAAGTTGATAAATATCATAGAAGACGACAACATTATCACGGAATAACTAGAATACAGCAGTGGAGTATCTAAGTAAGAGGTAGCAGAAATATAATATAAACATAATATATTAATTAGAAAAATTATATTTATGAAGTAACAAACAAGCGATTAATTCTCATTCATTTAAAAATACTGCAAAAGCATTTCTGTAATTTTAATCTCGCTTGTAAAACTTTGAAAATTGTCGCGCATAAAAAATTCGTTTGGAGATCGTCGCCGAGCGGCACTAGCTCCTTGTAGCAAAAAGTACTGGTGCTGTATATGATTTTGTAAGAAATATGTATATGCTTTTATGAATGTACTGTATTTTTTAATGACTGCGGCCATTGCGCCGTAATAATCATGGACCCGACGCCATGACGAATTGCTCCGAAAAGGTTATGTTCATTTTGTCTAGTCTATTTTAAGCATCCTTATCGGTTAAAGTTTTCACAGCATCAAGCCGCATTATGAGTAACGATTCAAAATGCTTTTATCTTTAGTGTATTACCTTCTGCCTAATCATTTGGACAAAGAACACGGTGGTCCAAAATTTATAATGTTACTATCTGTAACAGTAATCTTAAGCATTTTTGTCCCTAATGCTGTATAAAGATGAAGTATTGCTTATGTAAGTAGCACTCGTAGAATTACGATGGCGTTGTGACTATAATCGATGACATAGGGAGGACAGAGAATCGTGGAAGGAGTCGCGACTGGAACTAACATTTTTGATCCAATTATTGCAGAAAATGTCACGGTGCGTGTGCCTACACGAACCCGGGCTCAACAACAGAGGAAAAGTTCCGGCCCAAGCATGCAGAGCAGGCGACTTACATCGACTTGTTCCTCAACAATGTTAGTGATTATCATCTCGTTCAGCCAACCCTGACTAAATTACCAACCGCGATTCACCTCGTGCATAAAGGATTCGCGGACGATACCTAAGAGCGCATGGCTCCAAGCCGTATGGGCGGTTACATACACGGGTAGCACAGCTGGTTGTTACAGCGTGTACCAATAATGGTACGGGTATTTTTTACCGCTTTTAGTGCTCTTTATCTGTATAAAATCGCCACCATACAGTTCCTTAGATGACATCTTATTTTTTTAATATCAGTGAATTCATCATCTTATCTCTCAGTGTCAGTTTTTGGAGTGCAAGTTTTGATTTGAAGCAAATTTGACGATGGCAGCGACTATGTAGACGGGCGTATATCGCGATGTTGGATAAGCTTAACCGATGAAAACCAAAAAAACATTAATGTAAAAAAGACGGGATATTTTACATACTGAGTTTTTTTAAAAAACTCAGTTATGACAAACAGCAAAGAAAAATTTCTAAAAACTATCTATCCAATAAGCTTGCAAAAGAATAATCAAAGCAACAATGATTTCTTAACGGGCCCATTCCTATTAGTCCCATTTAACACAGGATTTTTTTCCGATAACAAGTCAGAGCTATCAAAAATTTAGCTCATTGGTAAGCTCACTGACTGCAGGTTTACTGCTTGAATGTATCAAACAGTTAAATCTGCGGCTAGTGAGCATTATTAAATTTACTGTTCCTTCCTTGCTCGAAATCCTTTTTTTGTTTCGAAATTTCGAAATGTTTCGAAGTTTCGAAAATTCGATATATAAATTCGAAAAAATATAAATATTGGAAATATATTTTTAAAATTCGGAAACAGATTAGAAATTAGTTTATATTTCACACATATTTCGTTGTGACAATGTAATTTCTCTGTACTTATGCACCTGGTAAAAACGAAAACGTCGTCTTCATTTTTTCTTTTGTTTGCAATACGTGTTTTAATTCAATAATAATCTAATTGAAATAATGCGTAATAAGACAATAAACCATGTGTCCCGTAATTACAATGGTAATCTCTTTTACAGTAATTTAAATATGTACGCATCACTAGAGGTACTAAACATGTTAAGCAATTTGAGTTCAAATTAACCATTCAATAATGATGTCCAACGATTACGCAATCTAAATAACTTGGCTATTTTTGGTGTTACACGAGACGCTTTCGAATCTTTCAATACTACTGACAATTGCATTTGTGGATACAAAGAGCAAGTATGAACATAATCTAAAACATATAAACAGATGCGTATAACTCTACCTGTATCCTGCATGGGGAGCGATTACAGCCCGTGCGGGGCTATGTGTGACGGGTCCCACCGCTTGAAGCCAATCTTCCAGTTGAGCTCGTAGCTCATTGCCTCTTTCCGAATACCACGAACCCGCGTGAGTTGCCTGCCTACAGCTACGTGACATACTGGGAATCAGCTGTTTGAACCACCTTCGAACTAAGCTCCGGTGAACCTGCAGGATTCCAGCAAAGTACTCCACGAGTTTCACGTCTGCCGTTGGTTGAGCAGCTTTTTTTTTCAAAGAACCACGAATAACCTAGGATATAGACCAAGATTGATCGTCGTAGGTTAAGAGAGCTTTTGCAATGTATTAGAGCACTGACTTTCAGGGGAAGAGGATATACACTGAAATGAATCGCTCGTTTGATTGAGTGCGACTGCTTGATTTGGCTTCCGCCAGCCCAGCAGCTACAATAAAGCAGACGATAAATGAACGCATTCACCAGCTGATAGAACCCCTTTTCACTTCACTCAGCCCAATGTTTTGTTATTTTATTTAAAACATCAAAATTTGACATTTATTGTATAGTAATATTGTCAGCAACAATGTAGCTTTTCAACTTGAAATTAATCTATGTGTAGTTGATCTTTAAAATTATTATTGTGCAACTGCTTCTTCTCTCTCTCCATGTACGCGTTTTCTAGTGCAGAGAAGCGTCAGCTGATTTCAGTAGTAGTAATAGTAGTGGCGGCAGCAACATCATCATGTTAAATAAGATTGGCAGTACATATCGTCCCTCTCCCTTTAGCGCCTCCGTCGATTATACCATTACGGTCTTATGGTTGGATTTGGGCGTACAGCTGCTTTCAGTAGTGAAAACTATTGACCTTCTTAGCACTTCACCCACTGCGTGCAAGGTATCAATCTTCAAATATGGGCTTACGCGATAACCCTGTGGCTATGGTTGTCGGTCACGTCATTTGCATTTTATTTGGTAAGTAAATTACGCAAGTACTTGTAACAGTTTTCTGTTACTAGTAGAATACAATATATCTGATTAACCAGGTGACAACAAGGCAGAAACAGAGACTGGTAAGAATACTTTAATACACTTACTTGCTTCTAATAGATCCGAACTTAATTCCGCCTATAGAATTTCTGCAAGTTATCAATTACCACTTACTGGTATTAGTAGGAATTAATCAGGGAGCAATATGGTCACTTTCGCGCCAATGTGATGTAGGCGAAGGTGGGAGTGTTTGCCGCTTCGATTTTTCTAGCGAGAAAACGTTGACTTAGAATATCTATGATACGAATTTTTAAAATTCATACAGGTTAGAAGTTCTGTGCAACTTACGTTGCTGAATTTCTTTCGTTAACTAAATCTTAAAACATGTGTTTATATTAGACATCTAAGTTTTTTTTTTGCATTTCATCGAACTTCTGTTGAACAATAAAAACCAAAAACTCTATCTTTTTACTGCAGTTCCAACGGTAAATCCTTTTACAGAAGTTAACAGTGTTACCTAACATTATATGATCATTATGTCTATATGGTATAATGAAAGATTAGGCTGTATGGGCCACTACGTTTCGAGAATATAAGAAACCGGATGTCGTCGATACAAATTTTAGAGAAAAATAGAAGAGCTAAACAATACGAAAGTACAACTCAACATAGTAGGAATACATATACGTGTGTATATGTCTTAGTAAAATGTAGGCATCGTAGCTTCGCACTCGTTGTAGTAAATGGCGTTGCTGTCAACAGTGTATGCGGTTGCTGTCGAAAGAAATTTTGAAAGCACTTTTCGGATAAAACAGTATGTGTCGATACATACACCACATTGCGGATAGTTATTATCTCAGGTTATAATTTACCATGGATAATTATTATGGCATAGTCACGGTAGGTATACAAGTTTCAGTTTTGTTAAGTTGGCTTCGGAGAATGATATGCAAGATTACGATTTCTCCTCCAAGCAAAGTTCACTTCACACAGTAGAATGTCAGAATAGCAGTGTAAACCTGTGATAGTAACTTGGCAATATATTATCATAACGAATCATTTTTGTGAGCCATGATCACAGCCGTTTTTAAAAAGTTTTTATTACACGACCGATTTTTTTGCACGCAATCAATGGTGGCTTACATAGCCTAAAATTGTGGGACCAATTACAAAGGTGTTTTCATGTCTACTTCATATTTCGAACGTGTTTAAGTATAAAAGCATGCATGTCTTTCACGCGGCGTCCATAGTTCAATTTTAACAGTAGTAATTAAGACACACTTCTAAACTATCGTACCCTTTTGGTATTTCGTACGTCAATATTTTTTTTTGTTTAGAAGTCTTTTTCGACAATCATATACCTATAATTGAACCTTATAGTGGAACTTGAATTTTGTCTTCTTGTTTAGAGAAAGTGTTTTATGTTAAATTCTGTCATTATTTAAACTGCCTCTCTGCGCACATTGAAGATCAGACAATAAAGACTGGCTGAGCGTAACAAATTGGGTACTTTAATGTATTTGTACGACAGACACCATTAGAAAACGTGTTTATACAGCCATAGAATTATAAAACTAGTAGTCAATGCCGTCTACATGCCGCTATTCGATCACCATATCCTCTCCTACCTAATAGTATCTGCATCTGGAATAGCACAGCGTGTAGTTTTACTTACACAACAATTTTATTCATTTAGTATTGACAAGTGTAAACAACGAGGTGAGCCCTTAGGATAATTGTTGAACATACTGGATTAGCTAAAAACATTAGCTTTCGGTTGATGAAACAACGGCTTATCAACTCCGAGTTATCATAGTGGTACGCTTCAACATTTTTATAATTTACCTGGTAGTGTTCATGATACAGCTCCGTATATGTCTTAATACGGTTATTTTCCATAATATATTGCTTTACACATATGGCCGTTTGTTGACTGAATTGTCATTTGATATATGTGATGCAGTATTTTCGTAATAAAAGTTCTAAAATATTAATTATTTTTTTGAATTCATTGAGTTTTTAATATTAGCGCATGATGCAGTTACAAATCCCTCTTACATACTTTAACGAATACTAAATGAGTAAGAGTTTTTGCTCATTAAAGAATCGCGAATCTTCAAAAGATGTTGAAGTGCAACGCTCCAAGTTAGTAAAGAATCGCATTTAGGTACATAGTACGGTCATGAGGTGAAGGCAGACGTACGAATTAAACAACGAATAGTGCTTATGCAAATCTTCAAAATGCAATCCAACGTTTATATATAAGTTCATCAAGTTAAAGTATACAAATATTTGATTGTCATAGAAATTCAAAAAACTGCGGATCGAAGTTTTCATTATACAAAAAAAATTTAAATAAATTGACTAAAAAAACAGTCGAATTCGTATATTCTTTTTTGTGTCGGAGAAATGCGAAAGATACGATAGCTAATGGCGATTTTTGTTTCTACAATATTTGCTATGATTTTTCTCTGTGTGCACAATTATTTTTTTATTAACGCATCGAGTTTGATGCAAGTAAAATAATACATTAGTAATGTATTATTATTTGCATAATGCCTCCACCTAAGTACCGATAAACAGTTTTTTTTTTTATAAAACCTTAGATATGTGTCCTTCTTTGGTTCCATGGAGCAGAACTGGTGGCGCAAATTATTCGGAAGCCTGGATTAACACGCGCGTTAGTGTATGACCCATGCTTCTCTTAGGCAAAATGTTGGATCGAGGACCTGTCCCTCAGAACTTAGTGCCCGCGATATGATTCGCTTCTGCACGACAAGCCACATAAGCGATCAGTGCACCACGTCATCGGCGTCGGCCAACAATCTGTCAGTTTGATTCCAACCCTATTACAGATAATGGCGTACGAGGCCGAAAAAGAAGACATTACATTCTGCGCGTCACATGATCAACTGAGTCCAACTTCGGAAAGCAGGATCAGATCATCAACAAAGCAAGCATTAGCACTGTTGGCGGTGTCGGGTCTCTTTTTCTCCGTGGTTACCGGCATCTAAGTAAAGGGCGGGAAAAAGCTTGTACAAAGAATGAAATAGTGTACGAAGAGTCAGGTTTAAACTGTAAAGATTCCAAATTAAAAAAAGAGAGTAAGAACTGTATGAGGGTCGTTGTAGGATTATCGAGACGGCACACAGACATACAGGCATAGATTAATCAAAAGGGAGAAGCGTAAAAAGTGCTGTGCCAATAAGAACAAGCGGCCGAGAATGGCGCAGCTATGCGCGGCAGTGAAGCACGCCGTAACGATGAACTGCCTTTATATATAGTTTATATAAAACACTGAGCGTTTAGTCAAACCCGCGACACTTAAAAATTCTACCGATTCTTTCCGACTGCGCTATGAGGATTTCAGAGATCTCCTAAGATGAGGCTTACGAGACCTTGAATGTTCCTCCGTGAACTCGCGTCACGGCTTGCCGTTTGTGGCAGGATATTTCGTTCTGAAATTCCTTTTGTTAAAGTCTACAAGCGGCGCCGGTACGCCTTATGCACTGTCTTCCTTTATAAAATCTTCTTTTGTGGGCACCTAATCCTTCTCAACTGGGCTCTCCATTGATTTTTGTACTTCTGGGGCATTAACACGTAGATCAGACGTCACAAACAGTTACGTGTAGTACAGATGTTTATAATGGCGAATCAATCCCCGAGCGGTCAGCGATCTGTTGTCGATTTGATAAGTGATGTTTGCGCTTTCCGCCTTATTTTCTGTCGTCTGCGAACAAGCAGGATCTCGACATATTTCTGGCCAGTTTCATATATAGTGTTCTAGGCCTGTAGGTTTAAATCTCATTGCTCCACTAAACTGTTAAGACCTGGGTATTTGGTCAAAGCTTTTCAATGTATATGCCAACCGCTACCATACTGAAGGTTAAGAAGGCCTAAAAAGAAACAAATAAAGTATATTCTTAATAACGTAGAGTAAATCATATTTCAGCGGCTCTTCCTGTCCAGCTCTTCTATTTCGTGGGTAAGCCTTACAAACGAGGTTTTTTTTGTGACGATGAATCTTTAAGACACCCGTACCACGAAAGTACCGTTACCAGCACCGTTCTATATATCTACGGATTCGGACTTCCAATTTTAACAGTATGTAATAAGCTTTATTTTTCTTCAATAGTTCGTTATAGTTAATAAGTCACATAATGCGAATACTGCAAGATCCAAGGGAACTCGACTTGCTCGGGTTAATTTGTTTTTTTTTACAGGATTTTAGAATGCGATGTCATGACATCTTAACGGTTCGTCTCTGCTGCTGTATTTTATCGGTCGGACTATATATGTTTACTGGAATTGTCTTAATCGGTGTCCTTGAAAAAAATTTTTATTGGGCCTGCAAATGATACAATACGATCCTATACTTATTCGAGCAATTTTAGTGTGTGTCCGACGGTAGTGCTTCAACAAGCAGCTCCTGGATCTACCCTACCATTAAAAACTTTGCTATAGCATTTACAATACTAACTCAACAAATTTAAAGCGAGGACCAGCAATCCTAAAACGTTTAAGCAAAGTTATTGGACTGTTTAAAAGGCAGTGCTTACTTGATCTTCATCTCTCTTCGACAGTGAGAACGATTTTATTGAAGGATGTTTAGGTAGATGATGGTTAAGTTTGGCGAATAGGGAGGTGTTGTTCAATGATTACAATGAGCCTCAGCTTCTAATCCACTTTTCGCTAGCGAATACTGATTCATTAGTTTGTGCAAAAATATATGAAATGATAACCGTTTTATTTTAAATCAAATTGGCATCCCAAAGTAGCTTACCTTCGATATTAGTATCGTCCTTTTTCAACCTGCTGTATCAGTAAGAATTACATTTTCGCGCAGAAGCTAAGTAAATGACTTAAATCCGGTACGGTCGGTAGTCATTGTTTTAGACACTTGCGCTAAAGCTGCGAGAGCTTTAAATAATCAAGCTTTAATTTAGGAGCTCAAGCGGTATACCTTTAAACGTGGTTCCTTCTCATGTTAGATGCCAGTTCACTCCAACTGTAATTAACATCAAGCAAATAGCTCCATCAAGGAACAAAAGTCGTATTTTTGTGAACATATTGGATTCATTTCAAATCAGTCCGATAAGGGATCGGGTTAATTATAGTCTTTATTGGATAATATGGAGGTTTCATGCACTAAAAATACATGAGACATGTGAGACCAAATCTGTATTCCTACGTATATCGCTGCTGTGGTCTATAGACTAAACAGTGGATGAAACACTGCTTAGGATCTTCAGCTTTGCCAAGCCTTCATCAGTAGCTTAAAGGAACTTAGCCATCATATCTACACATAATATGCTGCTCTTTTGTTACCTTGTTGTATATTACCATGTTCGAAACAAACCCAGACAAGTACATCGAGACCCACGGACGAAATACCCAGCAACCATAATCCAAAAGTGTGGTGCGTAGTATTTTATATCGAAGCTAACACTCTGCTGTGTAAGCCTGCCCGTCGTGAGTTTCGGCAGGAAACTGAAACTCGCCCTATCACGCTTTAGGTGACCTTTGTCAGAATGAACTGCGCGTTAAAAAACTATGCCGTTTTATAAGTAGTAGCTTCTTTGTGATTATAAGAGCTGCAAACTCACAGTAATGATAATTTGTACAGATGGGTTTACCTTGACATTTTTCGTGCTACACAGTGGATCGCATATGATATTGAATTTCCGATCCGATTCAAGGACTGCTTTAAATACTAGTGGCTCGCGGGTGAAGCACCTCCCTCTACTAATATAGTAACGCGGATTCGAATAGACATATTTGATCGTGCAGATGGATAGATGCAATACTAACGCAGTTTGAGAAGTAAAACTCAGGACATATACTATAGAGTGATTGGAGGTATACTTTCAGAGTGTGAAGATGTTCTTTTATTGAGGAAACTGGATTATTTGTATTGAAAACATTACCGGTTACGCTCAACCGTAGAATTGTATGTTAGGTTGAACTGGTAACTTTAAATTATTAATGTAAACAAAGCCCTCCAGAGGCCACGTGGAGTACTGGAAGAACCAATATAGCAAACACTTCTTTACTCTAATTCTTTGTTTTATTATAGTTCATCATCGTGGAGATTCTCAACGTACGTCTAGGGCAGCCCAATCTCGAACCCCAATTTGAAAAACCATTCCTTCGGTACCGTGTGCCCAGCTTTATTCAGAACATTTATCAAAATACATGGCCGTTTCTTCTCGGCGCAACTATTCAGCAGATGGTCACTGATATCGCCAAATACACCACTGGACGGTACCGTTAAGCACACAGTGCATTTTTTTAATATATTTAAATATTCCGAATTATTATGCTAATATTTTTAATGATTGTTTTTGATCTGACGCTTAGCGAAATACATTGCCTTAATGATAAAGCTTGTATTTATGGGTATGATACTGCATTCCGAACATTTTTAATTAATATAAGCATCCCTTTGTAAAATGTATTCTTGCCATGTAGTTTAATAGGATTCTATTTGTGTGCTATTTCTTCTTTCCCTATTACTGCAATAGGCTTCGTCCACACTTTATTGCGGTATGTAATCCACAATATCTCGATGAATTGTGTAAACTGCCCTATAAATACATCGTGGATTTCGAGTGCAATACAAAGTATACCGAGAAGCACCTTAAGGAAATGCGATTGTCGTTTCCATCTGGACACTCCTCATTCTCAATGTTTTGTATGCTTTGGATCATTGTAAGTAAAAGAATATAGACGACGTTTTTTATATTTTCTTTTGTAGAATATAAAAACGTTTACAATTGACGGAGCATTTGCTTCAGCTGTCAGTGTATTTGCCTAATGGGCAACCTGTAATTTCGCAATTCTGAATTTGCAGCTTATGCAGTTGAATGCTTCTTTTCATGTACATCGCTAGTCGAATATTCGTTTTTTGAGAAGGAGAAACTTCGCTTGGAACTTTCACAGCAGGCACATCACGGACAAGTCGCCTAGAATAGAACATAAATCGATATATCTTATATTAATTTCTATGAATGTATTCGCACAGGCATGTATTAATTTATATCTATTTATTGGATATTAGCTTACGTCGTGTACGGGTAGGTTCCTACCAAGGGCCACTCACGCTTTTTTTCAAAATAAGTAAATTCTTCTGTTAAGTGTATTGACATTTTATCGTTCTTACAAGTGGATATTGCATGGCTTATACTATGCTCGGTCAGATTTGAGTCTGGAGGTTAATTAGGTAGCGCTATAAATTTTTTGAGCGAATATAATCAAAAAGTGGATGTACATTTCATTGCTTTCATAGATTGCTTATGTACGAACATAGTTTATTTCACTATATAACAATTCCACCTGCCATTATAGCATGCATCCAGTAAAACATAGTGCTAAAATAGCGTTCTGCAATATAACATTCGACTAAACTGTTATGTGTAAATTTCGACGAAGTTGTGCAGCTACGGCATTTATCTTCTACTAATTGTACGAGCTTAAGAAGGTCGAAGATAACAAAGTGGTTTCTTAAATGTGCAGATAAGTTTAAAATGATCCGGGCATTACATCTGAAAAAGATCATTGAAAGTGGCTTATCGCATTATTTCGGCAGATGCTTCTAAATGCGGAAGTTGCGCAAATTGTCTCTTGAGTGCACTATACATAAGTCCATCTGTCATGGGCTCAGTTCTTAAGAAACCCATCTTTGGCTTTTACTCTTCGCCGTCAGTAATTCCTTTGCAATTTTTGTGCAAAGAAATCTTATGTTGAGCAAACAAGAGAGGCACAGCCAACGCTTCCGTGATCACACCAGCTCGTTCTTCCATTTGAAGTATATGCGGGGACGGCCACCTGGTAGCGAGCAATTTAAAAATAAAAAATCCGGTGCATTTACATAATTTTTTATTATAAACTTTATACCCTCAGGATCTTACTTATATAAAATCAATATTGTAGGCTCTTGGGCTTTTTGTATGGCCTGTCTTACTTACTTAGTCACCTGTCTTACTCAGTTTTTGGCGCCTATTTTATATACATCTAGCCCTATTTCTAAAATGGCGGCACGAATCCTCTTAACGTTGTCCACTGACTATGAATTATTCTAGTATACTTTACTTTTTGACAAAAACGGTCCATTACATGATCTAGGAGGCCATTGATATCACCCAGCCTGGAAGTCAACTACTCACCTTAAGTGAATACTGCGATTATGTTGTTAGGTATGTGGTAGACCATCCTGCCGAAACTATATATATTGAAAATCTTTTTCAACGATGCGGGTATCTTTTGGTAGTGACCAGAGTTTAAAATTTTGCTGAAAAAGAGAAGGCCACCGATGGTCTCGGCCTAAACGCCGCACACGATATTGTTTCTTTTGAGATGTAATGTCCTAGCCTAAATAGGATTCTCGGTCTACGAGAGACCACAGACAATGGACGAACCTAAGAAAAATATTCGTGTTGCCATTTTAAAGGTAGAGGCAGATGTAAACGAAAAAAATGGTCTAACACTGAATGAAGGGAATAACGGTTATGAAAAAGGCAAGCGAATCCATTTCACTATTATTGTATTTAAGTAGAATCTTAAATGCGTGAAGTGCGTAATAACGATTTATTTGAATATATTTACTTGTGTTTTTTGGCGTCATCTTGGAGTCGCCTGCGACTAGATGGTCGTGGTAATAGTGCGCAAAGCAAACACTGTACCTAACTTGTGATATTTTTATTCTTCTTATGCTTACTTCAGCTTTATTTAGAGAAGAGGTTGACCGTACCGTGTGTCATGCTTCAAGCTGGAAAGGTTATTCTTCAGTCGCTGTTCTTTTACATAGCCTGGTTTACTGCCATGTCGCGTGTATCCGATTATAAACATCACTGGAGTGACGTCTTATCAGGAATGCTCATAGGTTCTGTGACTTGCGCTGTTGTATTTACAAAAATCGCACCGATCAGCAACATCAAATTTTACAGCTGCAGCGTACGCCAAGATCAGGATCCGTCAGAACCGCTCGAACAGATTCAGCAAGGTAACGGCGAGACACAATACATTGCCATTCATCGACAACAGCATCAACAAGCGCATCCGCAGCATCAGCAGCTGAGATTGCATACGAACTATCAAGACCACGAAGACAGACTTTCGGTCGAGCCTTTAGAGCGTAACCATTCAGTTCCGGCTTAGATTCATGTGGTCTGTGTGTCGGGAACAAGTAAAGCTGTTTTAATCTGGTCGCAGTTCAATCAAAACTAGAATTACTGTTTCAAGCGTCGCAATTCGCAATATACTGAATTGTGAAGTTACTAAAAGTCACATAAGAGTTGGTTTTAATTGTTTTGTAAGTCATTGAGGGGACTTACGAAATTTTAAAAGTTAATCAACAGCTAGCTTCTGCGCCAACGTACGAGTTGATTTATTGAACAACGCTCCCAAAAGTCTGCTATTTGCTTTTTGTATTCTGTCCAGTAACCTCAGACAGCAAATCAAGTTACGTTTTGCCTAAAAGGGCTACAATCATTTGTGACGTTGCCATAGTTCTAATTTATTTCTCGAACGGAAAATACTTTACTTTCGACGGTCGAAATTATGAGTTGCTAAACGTTTATGCATATTATAAAGCGGCTCCTATCTGTCGAGTATTTGTGTCGAAAGTTGTATATTTTTCATTTGTGTAATAACTATGATATTTGAGAGTGAATAGGAAAATCTCAACTTACTAGAAGCTGAACTTTAGGATTTGATTAAAGATTTCAAGAGTCTGTTTTTATTTTCCCCCAAATAGGCTTAATGTAACGTTTTGCTTCGACGAAAAAAATCGAATGAAATACGTTAAAAAATAAGGTTAAGGGTATCACAAAATGCAATAACATTAGAAAAAAGGTTACTTCACAGTCTCGTTCGATAACCAATTTCATCCGAACTGTGTTTTTTTTTTGTATGCACAATATATGGAACATATTTGGGTTAAGGTCTGCCTTCTTGCTACGAATGCACCGTGCCACCGGTATTGTTAATACTAAGAATGAGCAGCAATTACCAGAACAAACCGAAGCCTATTTTTCATTTGCCTAACCTTTAGTTCATTATAAGGTACCATTTATTAATCTCTATGGTATAATGGCTACACGTTTGTACTCGCACGAATCCGTTAACTCCGTGTCTCATTTATGGGTAATTTTAAGTCAACGTCAAATGAAGTCGACGGCATGGATTACAAGGTAGTGCCGTCCTCAAGGTTTTTTATCGGAAGCGTTGCCAGGTATTAATGAAATATTATTACCACTTGTATTCAATGAATTGTATTAATCTATCGATTAGAACGACAAACTAAATCCCTCGAAAATTCTAGAATGTGTTTAATATGCAGTGTACGCAATGTCAATACTTTAGTTGTGGCTAAAGTCATGATTAAAGTCGAGCAAGTCCTAAGATCAACAACCTTTGGGCATTAGAGACATTCTCATAGAAAGGCTGCTTAAGCTTTAAATTTCGTAGATGTTTCGGTGCTGGGTTTTCCACCGGATGTCATCTTTGCAGTGGCGGTTTAGTCTAACCTTAGGTTTTTTCTACCAAAGTTTAGTTCCGGTAGTATTTTTATTATGGCTTGAAAACTAGGGAACGTTATGTTGTATGAATATATAAATTAGAAGTGAATATCAATAGCTAAGAAAAAACCTTTCCCCTTATGTTAATGGACACTTTCTTGTGCATTAATCGAATGAGGTAGAGCGCATACTATGAGGCCATGGGACGACTTAGTCACTTTATTTGGTTGGAAAGCGTGGATGGTAAAAAAAAGGCTAAAACATGATAGGCTTTGTTTTGCGTCTTGCTTAATCAAAATCGTATCAGTATATACAGCACCTTTTCTGACAATGAGCGGAAACATGCATACTTAGTTGAAACCAAAAGTTCTGCTCGTGGTGCATTCCTATACCATATTTGGCAGGTGTGTTAAACTTCATCTTTACCATTTTATTCCTAGGTCGGTGAGGCTTGCAGTTCTCTGTCCTCCTTGTGCATCGATTGCTTCCGGGATGCTACCTTCTTGTGAAAGATTTATATTCTTTGAGAAGAGTAGGCCCTGGTGAAGACTTTTGAGGTCTTTGCAGGCGAGGATGATCACCCGTCACGCGTTGCTGAGACTGTTCTCATGAGGCCCAATTTTGGTCTTCCGTGAGGTCAACAAGCCCACTAGGCAGTCAAAATTGCCAATCAATTACGACAATACAGAAACAACGGCCAAGAAGAAACTACAATAGTAAAACTTCCGAAAAATATGGTAAATAGATGTTATATGTGGTTTATGTGGGTTCCGTAGCATTCGATCGTAATTAAGATACCCTTTATTCCTCGAACATTCAACACTTCAAAGATCGACTGAAACACAATAGAAAATTGTCCACACCCTAACACGTGTTACGTGCTTCACTAAAATCCCTTGAAAGCTTTTTACTGACGAAATTACTAGCGAGTGAGGGTTTCTTATCTACGGCAACAAGCACTCGTTAGTTTATATATTCCTAATATTACTGTAATGTGGATTAATGTATTTGCAGGAGAGAAGGGCGTATGTTTTCATAAAACAAAGCAACGCAATGCAATAATGAATACGATTGAAATAAATGTGAGCGTTATTGCTCGTAGTAGCCAATATGCAAGCGAGTGGCGTCTATTAAGTTACATTTTGCTTTATCCCTACACATCTGTTAGCACTATTTTCACACATATGTGGCTGTGAACCAACCAAGTATCCTTAAATCTGATTAATCATTATTCTTATTCCCATCTGTCGTCCACTAGAAATGTACGTTTTTCTAACCGCAGTGATTTTCCAGTTTACCAAATATTCTGTTAGAATATTACTATCCTTTTTTTAAATAGTAAAGTTTAGTTAGAAATAGTATAATCTGAATACGAAGTCACTGATTCAAATTTCGAACTTCATTTCAGAACATTCTGGCAAATAGCGGACTGTTTCAATTGGCCATCGGTCGTTTTCTTATATAACAATGGATATCTACAATAATAGTACCGATCTAAGTAATTAACGATACTTCAAGAATGCCGAAGAGGACTTTTTAACCGATTTGACAGCTAAAGTCTGATTCTTGTACAGAGACCCATATATACAAGTATGTATGCACTATGCATAAATTGTATTGACTGAGCACTGCTAATTGTACTGTCACTTACTTAAATAAACAAATTAACTAATAAAATATTGTTGTTGTTTTTTGCCCTGTGACTGTATCCTTACTTTTTTTTAATAAATTGTAGTTCATTGAACGCTACATCTGGATAACGATGCGTTCCCAGCGTTGAAAACTGTGTAATTAAGATCACCAAAAAACTGTTTTCACAGAGGAACTCGCTAGGAAGCAAAAAAAAAAGAGACAAGTCATTTAAAAATGAATAAATCTATTTAATGATGAGTACATAATATTTTATAGTCATCTTTGGTCTAAGGAATATACTTCACTGTTACAGAGAACATTACGAATGTTCTTACAACTGCTCCGTAAAATGCAAATACTTCATTTAAATTAAGCGATGATTTACCAAGGCAAATCTGGGTAATGTCAGTCGTTGCCGGCGGAATTGCTATACTCCAGATAGGCAGAAAGTAGTATATGCACCAGTATTTCACAAGTGTCACACACCCTGAAGAACCAACCGTCCATTTGTTTACGAACACCATATAAAAACATATCCGTAATATTATTCACCCTAATCATGCTGGCCTCAAAAAAAAATCAGTTCTCGAGTTCTTTATCTATCATCTGGCGTAAATAGTAATCGTGAATTCCCACAGATTCAATAGTAGTACTGACTAGTCCTTGCAAGAATATTTTTCGCTTCCATTTACAGTGTGGTCTCATGCTGGAGGACAAGGATTACATCGTGAAGCCAGTAATATGGTTGATGAAGATCACCTTCGCAAAGATATGGAAGACGGGACCATGATTTTAAAATGTAACCCAGCGGAACTAGGACGCACTCGACTAAAGAATCTATCTGGTCTTCCATCGTTCTGCCGCGAACTTCAATTGGCTGCGAGGCTGTGTAATGAGGAGGATTATTCTCAACATACTGACTAACTGGCAGAACTAACGCAAGTAGAATGATGCCATCTTTAGCTAACTTGTGAGGAATGTTTTTCAAGATAGTAATTGGCTCATCACAGCGATCCAAAAGGTTAAGAGCAGCTATCATAGAATATTTCATGTTGTCGCTGGGGGAAGACCACGCATCTACTTCCTTAACGCTGTAACCGCGGCGAGCTAATATTTTCCTCATGACGAGCGAGACCTCTGTCACATACGTCTCTTTAAAGAAACGACTAAATCTGGCTGTGACGTTCCCATCTCCGGCTCCTAAGTCTAGCACTGACTCTGCGAGATGATCCGAGCTCCAACCGGTTAGTTTGAGGAATTGCTTTTCTGATAGCACAAACATCGACCCCCGGTTAAGCCACCCATTGAGAGACGTTTTTGATGTCGCCCATCCTAAAAATACTCGCATCATGGCATGCCATAACTGTGTACCCAGCCAAGAACTTTTTTCGGTACTTTGCTCGATGAATTCCTGGGTGTCTTCGTCACACGATAACTGTATGAACTTAGATCGAACATTTTCGCTCCTAATTGCATCAAGATCTATGTGATACCATTGAGAGCGATCGATATTAGCAAATTCTTGTTCCTTCACCAACCGTTCGTAAACAGCACGAGCGATTGGCGAGTGAATATAAGGTTTAATACGCCTTTCTTCCGTCCCCATCAGGATGGTGCTAGCAAACACTGCCGCTAGCAATGTTAGAGCAATGGCGAAGCTTCGGCTAGGTGCCGAACGGTCTCCGAAGATCGCATCAGCATAGGAGCAGTAGTACATCCACTAAAAATAAAGGAATATATATATCATGAGAATTAAAACGTTGAATTACACGCTTCGTTCACACAGTTTAGCAAATAAGCTAACTTCTTTTGGATCACAAACATGTAAGTAATCAACCACGACACCGGCCATTGTAATTGGACCGGCAAAGTCTGTCGTCACTTTTTTCACGGGTCATCAACTGGTGTTTGTTTGCAAACATTTGTCGCTTGGACGCGACGATGATTTTGATGGAATAGCAAACGCGCTAGTAATATGAATGAGTAGCTCCGTTTGCCATCGGATCAGCCCGATTTACGTAGCTTAATTCATAATAGCTATTCTTTTTTTTAGGAAATACCTTTGTTACTCACTAGTACGTACGTGCGATTGAATACCGCAATAAATGCAAGATGCCACATTATAAACGTGGTAACATAAAAAATAATACCAAGTTGCGACTATAATTTGGATAAATTTTTCTCCTTACATTTCAAAAATGTTAAGCGCTCTATCAATTAGTATTTTTTTAAACAAGTTCGTCTTCATACTGATTGTGACCACCTGATGGGATACCTGCAACGATACTTGCTTAATGTTATGCAAGAGAGCAGTAAATAAAGCTTTCACAACACTTTTTGTTATCTGGGGTAAAAAAAACCTTGAAAGCTCCTCAATAGTAATTAGCACTGGTCCTGAGAAAAGAAAATCTATGGTGCAGAGCTTGGATCTTTGGGTACTGGAAGTAATGCTTATGGTGTTTTAAATTCCTGGCCGCACTAGTGCTTAACTGGTTTTAGTATGGTCAAATATCCCTTGAACATTTTGGTCTACTCTTTTGCCTTTATCGGTTTCTCACTATATTTCGAGTTTTATCGGAATCGTCGTTAGAGACTCCATCAGACGGCTAGCTCCTAGCATGGAACGAAGCATATTTACGCCCAGATTCGAACCTATACCACAACATGTCCCTAAGAATAGCATAAACGTTTCCCACTACGTCATCACGGTGATTCTGCTTTATCTAACAACTGCATAGAGTGATCTCGCTCAGTATGTATTCCCATTTTCTTTTCTACTTGAAAAGGAAACATTACATAGGTAGCTGTTGCACACCTTATAATGATTGCCAACTTTAGGCTTGAAGAATTTGAGTAGTTACTGGAGAAATTAGAACAGGTTCGAAAGAATTGGCTTCAATTTAGAACGCCTCTACCAGCCGTAGATACGGCTTACAAGTCTGAAATGACAAGGCGTATGTAATTGCTGCTGCCATCAGCAAGGTTAAATGTTAGTACTTCGAACTGTTTTTGAAAACTCCGATAATTTAAAATATGGAGCTACTCTTGAGATAGATGTCGCTTGTAGGCCTAGAAGTAAAAAAAATAAAGTAAGAATGTCTATGAAAAAATTATGTGGTCGGATAAAGCCAGTTTTATGCGCTTTCTATTTTACGAAAAAATCCCCATTTGGTAAATTGTCAATAGTCAAGTCCGCTATGAATTATAGTCTCCGATAGGATCGTTAACCATGAAGTGCATCGTGTAGTGCTGTGGGACACTGTAATTCCGTATTTATTAACCCTACACGACATCTCTCTATTTTTCGTATACGGATTTTTTCGAACAGTAGTGGGCAAAGAGCCACTGTGCCGTAACTAAATGTGTTTCTCAATCGACAATAGGCTTGCATATATAATAACAGGTACGCCGATGGACGTGGTTCACCGAGGTGACTACTTCATATATATCACTCGCGTTATTAGCGACAAAAGTACTGTTAAAAATCTGAGCTCCATTGGTGAAATAAAGGCATAAATTATATACACATGATTGCGACACGCAATTGATATGAGCAAAAATCAGTGTGCCATTTATGACATTCAAGTAACTAAATTATTAGAGTTGATGTAATTGTAAAGTAATAGACACTTTTTTTAGATATACATTGCTAGTAGCATACCCGTTTTTACCATCGTTCCAGTATGAAACCTACGTTGTCTCCGTGTATATCTACCGGACTTTGACACTGAATAACTACAGGCTATTAGCAGAGTAAATCTAACTGGTAAATACTACAGTCTTCTTGGAACTTCTGAGTGGAAACCGGTTGAGTTTATTTCAGAAGCGCAGTGCGTGAATGGTCCAAACGTTTCGGAGCGGAGATTGGAGTAGTGGAATGCAACGAACCTATACAAGACATTTCTGGCAGCGTCGAACGCCAGTCGCTGTTCCATCAACTAGTTTTAAAGACTTTGGAATCCCACCCGGTGCATTCCTTTAAAGAATGCAAATGGGCCTGTACAGCGCAACAGAAGGTTAAACGCACTGGTCATTGGAGGTTACTAGAAGACATTAACCGCGGGATGAGGTCATCCTGCCAGATAACCGTGGCCGAGTTACAATGAATTCGTTATAATAACATAAATATACAAATACACTTCTACGCTTATCTAAGCACACAGGGAAGCACCCGCTCCTGCTGGCGAATGACAAGAATAAACCATTCCGCTTCAGAAATTTTGTAGAAATCGACTTAGACCATGTAATGATATATATATTTTGAGCCGGCCAGTGGCTCATCGTTCCTTCAGTTTGGTGGCAGTGATGGAATCGAAAAAGGCGAAAGGGTCCCCTCTTTCTGGATAGTTTGCAGCAAACCCAGCAGGGGCTATTGACTTTGCCGCTAGCTGACCGACCAAGTGGCTAATGGGAATTAAGCATCTGGCGGCGGAACAGTAATGGCGTCAAGACCAAGTTATGATGCATATACAACAGTACCTGTATGGCTCCAATCTGGTTTTATACGGTCTAGAGGCCGGAAAACTAGATTTTAAACAAAAACTGGAAGAACACTTTCTTTTGGATGAAGTCGGTCTTCCGAGAAATTTTTCAAACCTGTGAAAGCGAAAGGAAAGTCTTTCGAGAACTTCGGAGATCATAGAAGCTTACATAGTGTTATTCCTGCACAGAACATGGAAACTTTCAAGTTAATTGTTCACGCATATGACCGGCGGGCGCCAAGCTCCGCCAGGTGGGTTTCCCAGCTGCCAGGAAACCGAAGAAGCATTCTAGGACTCACCTCGTTAGTCATACAGTTTCGACCAGCGATCAGACCCCATTGTATGAACGCAGTTGTCAAGTCGTCCCAGCCTAGCAGCAATCTTGCATCATGTGCAAGGCTGAGTATCGACGTGATTGGACCTTCTTTCAGCTTCTAGGCTTCACCCTTTGTTTTCATACAATAGAACGGTTGGAGTCCAAGTATTTTCTACATTCGACTTGCGGGCAGTTACTGGCAGATCATCTTAGCACCCTAGGATAAGAAGAAAACGGCATTTTGCATTCCATAAGGCTTGGATCAATTCAAACGAATGCCCTTTAGATTGGCTAACGTTCCAACGTTAGCCAATCTAAAGGCATTTCTAAGCCATTTCTCCCGACCCAGATAAAGCAGCTGCTATAGGTGTCCTGAAGCTTCCTACGACCGTCCGCGAGCTGCAAATTTTTCTGAGGCTAGCGTTCTACCACTGTCGATTTGTACGGGCTTTGTCGAAGACGCCCAGCTGCGACTTACTGAAAGCGAGTTATGATTTTTTCGGGGCATCGCGCAATAAGATTCGTTTGCTAGAACACGATTTCGAAATCTAACATTGGAGTGGCACAGCGAACCCCATTGTTGACTACCTGCCACGTCTAGACATTGTGACAGTTCTGAGCAAGACATTGAACCGAGGCGCTGACTTTGGGTCAACTACAGCGCCCCATATGATGATATGTCTACGCTAGGCTCAAATTGTAACTACGCTTCAGAAAGGCCGCGAAGTTGTTCTGTCATCCAAGGACAGCAAATAGTTGAAATCCTATTATGTAGAGTCATGCTTTCCCATTTGGGAAACGAGGTCTCCGGCTGGTCTTCTTACGATTTGTCGAACTAGCAGGGATAGTTCTCCTGCTTTCAAGGTTATTCCAACTTGACAAAAATAATCCACCATACGGTATACCGCTACTTTCCAAAATGCGGAGTGTAGACAAAAGTTTGGGAGTATGTTCGCAGTTGCGGCGTTTGCTAAAGAACAAAATCTCGGCCGTTGAACCATGAGCCTCGGCTCATTCGGCTGACCCATACGCCCGTGGATCCGCGGAATGGCTTTCCGCTAGAATTCGGATTTTATGAATGTACTGCGCGTCCCGGGATGTGCTCCCTTGTTCTATTTGGTATAAACTACCGCAATCGCTTCATTTCCCTTTGTTTTTTAACTCGGTAAATGATGGCTCGTTTTATGCAAAAAACATTGTCTTTGCTTTTTAAAATGTTTTCCGGGCCATAAGTGCCATTGTCACGGACAACGCAAGCTACTTTTGAAGTTAGCGCATCGAACAGTATTTGGCGTGCTTTAACATTCTCCACATGGGGACTGCGTTCGTAAGCAAACAGACTGAGCGATCCGCACCGTTAGAGAGTGGCTTTCTGCGCAGCTGCTGGAGACGCCGGGCCATTCCGTTACGGCGATACCTTCAGCAATTGCGTTCATGATGAACACAGCGGTAAGTGAAGTTTTAAGCGCAACTTCGTTGGAATTGTTCCATGGGTTCGAAGCCGTAGTGTCCGATGAGCTTGCAGAGTTGCGGCCACTCGAAGCGTTCCCGCCTCTTTGCTTTTGAGTTTCGAAGGATGGTTCGCATTTGGCTTCTCCGACGGAGACGGGTTCTTGAAACAGGTCTTTTTGCAAGCTTGTGTCTCTACGTGACCCCCGCCAACTGTCCCAGGCGTTCTTAGAACTGTTTCCTAAGTTCGAACCAAATGGAGTGTCAAGAAATGGCTTGCGTGGTATACCTATCGATTACGCGGGCTACGGCAGCGGCGTATCGGCGCTGACCTAAAATATATCCGGAGGGATTAGGCCAAGGCTACCGAGATCCTGCTTGGTAGCGTGGGTGAGCAAAAAGGACCTAATTGGTCAGTTCCAGAAGTGAAAACTGGCTGGCTAATTGCTTGTCGCCAGCTATCAGATTTTGTCCTTAATAAGATTATTCATTACTGTTATGTATTTATATATTCCACAGTTAGTCATTCATCTGTATATATATATATATATATGAATGACTAACTGGAAAAGGAATCAGCGGATTTCAAATACAAGATACTTACTATGTCGTTTTTTCGATTTGTAATCAAGACGGTGAGATAACCAAAAAAACTATTTTTGGGAAAAATAGTAAGAGAATATAACTGTAAGTCCGAGTTATCTTCAGGATTGCGAGAAAATTTTTCTGGGCAAAAAAATAGTAGGAGAATGTAATTGCAGACAAGCTTACGGCTGATGCAACATGTTGGCCGGACCTTGACGTACTCTTATGAAAAAATTCATCCGACATCTCGCTCACAGTTTAAAGATTTGTCTTATCTTTTAGTTATGTTTCTGAATGTATTTATCACATATATATATATATATATATATATATATATATATCACAGAAAGTATTTATTACAAGATGGCGTATTTAATAAAAGAATTGCGGCAATGTGTATCATAATTTAAATTATGGTTACATTTTGGATATTGCTGTAGGTATGCTGCCGAAAGTTCGCAAAATATTTAAAAAATTTTTCATCACCGAGTTATTATCATTTGTTCACTTTCATTGTTCATTCACATTTTAATTCTCAAATGAAAAAGTGGCGGATGCAAAAATACACAATAGATCCCTAAAAATTAGAGTGATATCTATTTACCGATGAATAAGACCAGATCAATAATTTTTCTTACTATGGTAAGTAAATATGAACTGCGCTATTCGCAAGTGAAAACCTGAAAGTAAAACAGTTCAACTACTTGAGGAGCCTGTCTTCCTTGGAAAAATTACTGCACAGTTAATAGCTCACTGCGTCGCCTTGACTTGAAGCCTGCGCAGGTCAAACTTAAGATCCTGCATTTAAAGTGCCTCAAAACAGCTGCAATGTTTCGCATAACAGTAATGTAAGTGACATGCAAGGGTTGTGTAATAAAAAACAGCACATAAAACTGATACAAATATTTTATTCGCATTTCATGAAAAAATAAAGAAAAACGCAGAATATTCACATAATTAATCACCATGTTCTCTCGGCAATATAATAATACAGCTTCTACAAAATACAATTTAGAAAGCAAATCTGGTTCTAATATCTTCAAGCTGTTTGGCCACTTCGTGCGGTTGCCTGTCAAGGTCTTCCGCTATTTGCTTCTGTTTGGCCGCATCCAATGAGTTGTACTGCTCGCACAGATCCCCGTCAATTATGTTCTGCACAGTTCATCCCGGCAAAGCATAGAAAAAAAACGAATAAGCGCGTTAGATGTTCTATATACAAAAAAAACAATACTATTCTGTCTATAATATCACCACAGAAGCTTCGTCTATCTATACTTGCTCACCTACTTTATGCTATTCTGTTGTCATGAGTCTTGTCGTACACAAGCTGCTTATTAAATTAATTTCCTTAGCTTTTTGAAAACGGTCGAGAATAAAGAAAAAAGTTTGTAAGCATAATTTTTGCGGCGAAATTGCTAGCAGCATTTGCAAAGTGTCCTAGTAAACCTTTTGCTTTGGCTAACCGTTTTCGGGATTTTGACATTGTCTTACACTTTATTTCTAAAAAGGGGTTCGAAATCCACCTTGTTCGTATATTTCCTGCTTATATAAACAAAAATTAAATAAATAATAAGCAAGGTAGAGTTTTTTTCAACTTTTATAGTATTTTTGGTTTACGCTCGACTATCACCTCGAAGCGTACAATACCGTAACATTTCCACTCTACCTATATTCAGTACCGTTTGCTATACTTCGCAGAGAGCCGTAACAACAAATATTGAAGCTATGAGTTGTTACAGGTGTAGCTTTAGATTATCTCAGAGATTTATAGAATCACACTCCGTAAATTTTTGTGAGTAGGATGTTTTTAATTGCAAGTTCTAGCATGGACATACTTGCACCTATGTTACATATGTTTTAAAACCATGCTGGTTATATATTTCTAGAACCAGGTGTAACGGTCCATTCAGTCGTTTTTGTATACCATGTTTTGCACAGTAAGGAATGGGATATGGCGATGTTTTGCATTCAATAGGGGCATCGCTTAGTTATTGAGTAAGTTTTCAGAGAAAGTGAGTCACTCATACTACCACCGACACAGAGACGATTTATTATAACAGAACCTCATGCTTATATAACTATCGCCACCGACTCATTTAGAATTGTTGGTGCGCCCCGAAACACTTGGCTGCGCTTCCTAGATGTGTTTGCCACCATTCACCAAGCAGAGCTAAGCAATTATCTCCAACATTTTCGTGCTACCGCTGTGGCTTTGCCACGCTCGTTTTACCTGCTCGAACCGGAACTTTTACCTTAGCAACTGAGATCACGTGCACTGATGCACACGGAGATGCTTCTCGAAATCTTTTGTGTCGTCTAGTTTAGAAGTAATGAGTTCGGTAATAACTCGAGTCCTTCTGCGTTTAAACGCTCCATCACAGGTCTTGGCCTTTCAGCTTGGCCAACCATTTCATTCATACTCCATTTTTGACTTGTATCTTGGCAGTTCGGTTTCAGTTATACGCTTTCGTCTCACCAACTATATCATTTCATCGTTATGTAGCGACAGTGGCGGAAACGCCTCGGATCATTTGTATTCGCCATAATTCTCTGTTTTCATAGATGGTGCATGACAAGGCATACAGGGTGAGGCATTCAAATCCCGGCAGACTTTGTCGGATGCAGCAGTCGTAAATATCAGCTCGTTACGCAGCTAGTTTATCACACATAACCTATGTAATTAAACCGCTTGAATATAAGCTGGAGCATATGTTGTGAGGACGTTAAATTAGTAAGCTGCAGTGAAGTGTAATGATGTATGAAGCAATTGCTTAACAAGTTCTGAGACAGGACGCGGAAAACGATCGTTCGTACTAGGTCCCTGGTTCATATCCATTATAAAATTTTAGAAAGCAATTACTCTCTTTTGAACTGCCCAGTTTTGAAACTTTTTCTGAAATTGACAGGAAAATTGCGCATAACTAAACTAAATAAAAATCGTTGCACAGCGATAATCTGTACTGTAATAATGGACACGATGCGTTGAATATAAATCACATTTCATTTTTGGATTTTTCAGGATTTTAAGACTTTGGCCTTCGACTATGCCGTCCGATTGTCGTGCCTAACGGGCACGACTTCATGCGTTTTTCATGCTTTTTTTTTTATGAATAAACCAACGGCGATTTTGAGGAGCAGGCTATTAGTCCCAAATGAATGGTTAACTTTTTTGGGTCGTTTCATTTACTCTAGTTAGTGACAGTCTCGAGCCTTTGCACTTTTGGGATCTCTGGTACGCTATCAACTCAAAATCTAATTTGGTTGGAATTTTTTTGTATTTACCGTATTTAAGCGATACATTGACAAGCTAAACTTACCAGTATCGTTTGGCACACGGTTAGTATTAAAAAAAAAAGTTGTTTGCGAACTAGAATTACTAATGGGTGGTATAGACCCTTAATTGAGTATTTAACCTCCGTGGATGATAGTTATATCAAATAAGAACCACTATCAAAACCGATGCTTTTAAAATATAGAAAAAAAATTCACAGAAGTATTTGTTTTCGTTAGTAAGATAGAAACAGCTTTTTAGGTCCAAATTTGCATGTCCCTATATATACATATATTTGTGTGAGTCGCTCTCATTTGCAATACTTCGAGGGTAGCAGGATTAATTTCGTAAATGCGATATATTCGCGGTGTAAAGTTTAGTCAACACTTCGTTCTTCTTTAAAACTTTAAATGAATGCATTTTACGAAAGACGTCTAGTACGAATTCAAATAGTTTTATAAGAGTTTTATGGTGATACAGCAACTGCCATAAGTTCTACTAAAGTATGATACTCTTGGTTGGAATGCTATATTTTTGTTGACATTATGTAATTATCGGTAATAAAATATAATAGTTAGAAACAAAAATACTATTGAATTTTAAGCTAGTTTGTATCTTTTTTTTCAAATATAAATAGACTTATTTATCTTCTTTTACGTAGATAAGTACGGAGAGAAATTTGCATTCATAATAATTAAATAAATTTATTGAGCTTCCAGAAATAGCCATGCCGTCGGGACAGCCCTTCAAAACAATGGCGCATCAAAATTAATTACCCGACAGACGGTACCTTTCACCTCGAAATCGGTATAATTTTATAACTCATGCAAAAATATATGATTCAAGCACATTCCCATGTTTGTATTAACAGACAGCATTCACAAAATACAGAACTTGCTTGTCCTAAGATTCATTGTTTTAAAAATGCTGGTGGGAAAACAAAGTTTGATGTAGCCCAAAACATGATGCTTCCAAAACTTTGCTTTCGTAAAGTTAGTCCTGCAATCATCCTAGTATTACTGGGGACGTAACAATCCAGGAAAAAATAATAAGCTAAATTGCAGCGCTCGAGTACTTCTTATAAAGAAAAATATAAGTAAATACGTACAAAATCGCATAAATGAGTTCTCACCTTTACCGGAAAGTAGTAACTTCGAAACGACAGATGATCTCGTCCACAGAGAGGTGGATGTTCTGTCCTCATATACATTTCAAGATGCTGGAAAAACTCGTGCTCGTCTTTTGTGCTAAAAGGAATAAGCGCACCAACTCCACCCGCAAGTGTTGTGTACACGATAGCCTCTGGTCCGCCTGGGATAAGCGCAGTCTTCTGCAATGAGACAACCAGTTCACCGACGTGGGTGGCGCAAACAATCTCAGCTTTTTGAGCAGACCCTCCTAGCCATCCGCGATCCCAGAGACTTCGCACTCCTGTGGGATCTTCGTCCACCTCATCTGATACTTCACTCGGCAATCTTAGCACAGCTACGTTGCCGAACTTATCAGCGCCGGCAATCGTTCTATAGTCGACCATGCAAGACGCAGTCGTCCATCGAGGAGAAAAGTCATCTGCAAATATATTTAGCTGATTTTCTTGTCGACGGTACCTGAAAAATAGATCATTGTTACATAAATGATAATTACTACAACTGTGCGGCGTGTAGGGCTCATACGGTTTAGTCCAAATATTTGCATAAACGAATGACGGCATTTTGTAGACATGAAGCGTATCCACCATACCTCACCTGACAAAGAAAAAGCTTTCCTCGCGATCGCCGACAACTATACGGTCTCCAATAACATTTATGGTAACAATGAGGTTGGGGATGTGTTTGTTCTCACATTTTCGTAACAATTTTTTCTTCCCAAGGTCGTATATGCGAAGACACTTGCCAACTCCAATAAGAACCCTCCCTTGAAACGGGCAGATGACTTGGGGCACGTCATCCATAGGAGTAGTGTGGAGAAGTTCTAACGACGTACAGTCATCTGAGACGCGGTAAGCACGTACCGAAGAGCTCTTTACAATTCGCGGATTAAGCTGTAGTTCTCGGGTCGCTCCCACCAAAAGAGTTCCCTCGTCATTTTTGCCTCCACTGAAGTGAACCAATGCGCAGCTGACAGCAGCTTCATTTTGCTCAAGTGCAAGCTTAAAGACTGTTGATAAATCGGCAGGATTGATAATCCGGATTTGTGAAGCCCAAAGATTAGCTCCTGCACGTGGTGCGCCAAACGTCGCCTCGGGAAGATCTTCTGAAAGAAATGCCGCAGCCATTTCAGCGGCCATTTCCTGCTCCTCTTCGCCGGCAGCTTCTACCTGCATTATCAATCAAATAGGTATTGACTATTCTTTAGAATGTCGCAAACACGAGCGGGCTAGCGCTAAGGGTTTATCGACATAAAAAAAGTGGAGTGCAAAGGACGGGGCCTAAACTATTGCTACTAAACTATTTGCTAGTTAGTATAAATTAAAACAATGATTAACGGTTAAAAAGAAATATGTATTTATTGATAAAGTCATATTACAGTATCAATTCACCATAAATCGGATATGCTTATTAGGCAAGAGTTTTTATCTTGATGCCGGTATCCGCTATCGCCCAGCGGATATAATTTAACAGATTCCCATTTCTCTTTAGAAACCATTTGCTGCTGTCTAATCAACCCTGGCTGTCACGTACACTATTTTGCTGTAATGTGCACATGTCGATGAGGATTTCATATTGCGGTGAGGTTCCTTGCATCGCATTACTTCGAATCCTCAACGTCATTGGACATGCCTGCTATAAATCTAACCATCTCAGAGATCAAAGCGATAGGTATTCACAACTGCTGGGACCATGGAAGCTTGTTGGCGATACAGCACGTTCACCTTGGCGAAATAGTCGATGCCCCGGCAAAAGTTCTCCCTGGCTGTTGTCCTTCTTTGGCTAACATCCTTGGCGGTTGCGGATATGCTCTAGAGCTCAATCGAAACACTCCTTCCAGAAGATTCTATTACGTAATGTGTTTAAGCTTCATTTGAAAATCAAACGATAAGGTTTCCACCACTCCTCGCAAGAAGCTTATCAACAGTACCCATGGAAAACTTGGCAGTTAATACGCCGTCGTCGAGGCTGTGAACTTGATATATTCAATAATGGGCGTGCGATTCAGCATAATTGCATTAGGTACACATAGGCATTGCTATTCTTCGCTATCAAAAAAAGGTAATAAAATACGTTTTGCAGCGGGGGCAGTTTTGATGCAGTGTCAACGTAACCCTCGAAACAGTTCTTTATGTAGTATATCGCCTACATTTTCGATTAAGGGTTGTGATTTCGCATTTACAGGAATAACCAATAATAATTACAAAGGGCTCAACTAGTTAAGGAACTAAACACAGTCATCACAAAACCCTGGCTGGTTCTATTGGCTAATAATTTGTCACATTTTGAGGAGCAACAAATTGCTATTGATATAATCGAAAGAACTTTGTATCGGCCGTAGGTCAATAATATCTCTAATGAATAAAATCGCGGGTATATATATTTACAGGTTACAATTAATTGCCTCAGGTTATCACGTATCTTTAATATACTGGCACACCAGTTAGATATTTAAACTGAGGCCTGTACAACTAAATGCTATATGATTGAATGAAATAGGAGCATGCATTAGTTGTTGATGTTCGGACCTATTGTCAACAATGTCACATTGCGCTAACGTGGCTTACTCAGTAAAGTAAGGCTCAAACGGTACAATAAGTAATAACAGAAAAGCCTAAATTTACTTGTGTGAAATTTGGCTCATGTACCAAATCTTAAATAGCCCATCTAGATTAACAGAGTCAAAATAAATAATGATGCGTAGATTTTTTTATAGATCACACTTTATCAACATTGCGAAATGATCTGATACTTGCATTATAACTCGTCTGTGAGTATAATAATTGGTTGGCATGAAAATGCAATGCATAGCACATTTTCTACAGCCTATAAAGCGTCCCTTGACTAAATAAAAATATACTATAGAAAGATAAATTATGTTTATAGTAATTAATTGATACATTCATCATTGTCATGTTACTGAGCAATGAGCCGGGCGTGGAAGCCCTAAATTATGATTGAAATCATGGTATGGCAACAAGCGATACTGACCATTTCCTCAGCAACTTGTTGCTTCCTCTTCTCTTTCATTTGCTCATTGTATGCGTTATGTTCCGTCTCAATTACAATGATCTTTCTCGCCTTGGTATCAATGGCGAACCTCCTTGGTGTCATTTCAAGGGGACTGCTGACCTAATTACGCAACGTTAAATAAAATATAAATGTTATTAAACGGTTAGTTTTACTATTATTAAAGCTTGCTCTAGCAGGCTATGTTCGAAATACTACCCGGCTAGCTGCTTTAAAGTATCATGTCTGTCAGATGAATAACTGTTTTGGCGATTTCCTTACCGGGCTTAAACATTTACACATCATGATCAAATTTGAACTAAAATTCTTGTCTCAGTAGGTTCTAATATACGGTCTGGCATCAGACCGATTGCTTGTCAGCCCCGACCAAGAGCCTATTCGACAGCAGTAAGCAGCTACAGTCAGGTCGCCAATTTCACATTGAAAAATAATTATTTCAGAATTATGATGTAATTTAAAATTAGCTTTTTTCCAAGCAAGTTAATGTACTAAGGTGAATTAGGTAGTACGGTATTACGGGGAAAAACAATTTATTGGCTTGACATAATGTTAAAAAAAAATGACTTAACAAATGTATGGATGAGAGATAACTCTATTTTAAAGGCCTATATAATATATCTTCAATTCAAAACGGAATGTGCTACACTTCTAAACTTTGTCAAGAAAGATTGTTACCATTGAAGCTAATTAGAGTTATAGAAAAGCAATAAATAGAAAAGCTAATAAGATCCAATGGTTAAAAGGGAGAAAAACAAAAAAACTACACTGTTTCCTATAAGAATACATATATTTGGGCATCGCTTTTTTCAACTCTTTCAACTACACTATTTGTGAAACAGCATCTTAAAATAAGAGTTTGCTTAAAAGAAAGAGATATAAAAAAATATTTTTTTTTTCTTATATTATCTACTAGAAAATATATTTTGCATAAACGCGCAAGTTAAAGCATGTTTTACCTGATTAAACACGGCGCCAAGTTTTTCGAGTGCAAGAATACGCAGTGTGTTGCCTGCAATGGCGACGATACCTTCGGGACATTGTTCTGAACAAAACCCTGACGCGTATTCGAGTGAATCGTATGAAAGCGGCGTTAAATGAAACCTGTTTTGAAATAAGTACGATAGCCAACATCGAGAGGACATCGCTAATACTGCATCGGTCGCTTGCATTTTCACCTTGAATAGTTTAACGCTACGAGAGCCTAGGAAACGTATCCGTGTGTCCGAAAGATCACCGGTAACGGCATCAAGAACAGTCCTATGTAGCGTCCCGTTTAGCAAACCGATATTGAGGTATAGCGCGGAAAGTTCACTGTCTTCGTCGTGGCTAGACATATCAACTGTAACGTAAAAAAGCCGCAACGTTAAGTCGGTGCTTTTTGTAGAAATAGTAAGTAGTTAAGTCAAGACTACCAATATATTAAAATTTTCTTAAGCAACCGAAGATCTTAAAAAAGACAATTTATTGTCTTGGTAAATTGTATTTGCGAACTGTGTATGGTTTTCGTTATACTGTGAAACGATTATGTTATGACCTGATTATGATAAAGTAAACGAGAACCAAATAATGTGTAGGAATTTTAACTTCATGAATGAACCATAACTTACCAATTGCTAATGATTCCGGATTTGCTGGCAACGCCTGCATAGAGAGAGGAGCCAGACAGCTTGCTGGGTCTAAGGAAATTACACGTACCGTTTCATCAGCGAGCCCAACAGCGAGGAAGCGTGTTCGCTGTTCTCCTGCAGGCACTGATGCGAGCGCCATACACAGAACATCACCGTTCATTTCTTTGCGATCTGTGTACTCGTTAAGCTGACCTGCGGAATCCATTTCAAAATAAACGAGTTCCCCACCAGACAATGCGATTACCACCTGACGCTGATTAACAGCACACTTTACAATCTGCTTCTTGGCCGCAGTACGCCATTCATTCACACGCCGATCAGCTCGTATATGTCGAATTCCCTCTGGATAGATTTGAACAAGAGCGTCATCACCAATTTGATGACACGCCAGTGTTGGCGTTGTACCGAGAAATCCAGAGTCCGTTACTTCTTCCACGGTTTCACCAATACTCAATACCAACGTGGCATTGATGAATGACACCACGATGTACGCGTCGTAATCGTCTTAAAAATGAAGACACTCAATTTTAGTGATTAAAGAATTAATTTATGCCAAATGTGAATAATGTACAAACTGCATTTCTAGAACATGGATATAAATGTAAAAACCTCGGGTAAAAAGTGTCAAACTTTAAATTCTCAACAGATTATTACATAATTTGCAGCATAAGGCTAACTTAAAACACTTTGAACCTCGTTCGCTGATATTTCGGCAAGCTGTTAAATCAAAAGGCAGTCAAAAGGCCGTAATGCTAGAGCAATATATGACACAACAAAACCTATAAAATAATACAACATCTCCAAAATACCGAAGTAAGATATTGCTTTCCTTCCAAAATGTAGATCCAAAATGTTTAACTAACAAAATGCTGGACCCTAGCATATTGCTGATCTTGCGATATAGAGACAAAAATACTTCTATATATATATACTCAAAAAAAAAAACATATCATGCAATATTTTTAACTCAGTGGGAACTCGGAGTATTAGCATTATTATAACTATTTTGTGTGGAAACTGGGCCAGCCCAGTCAATCCAATCAATGTGGTGTTTTTTGTGGATAGTGGTCATTGCTAATGTTTTTAAATTGTGTTTGAGTTTATTATATTGTGTGTTATGTATTCGAAACGAACGGTGCCCTCATTAGTGTCAAAGTGGCATATCAGTGTCACGGAAGCCTACCTCTTGAAATATTACCTTTTCAAGGTTCGTAAAAGCTTAAATTATATTAAATTTAAATTTAGTCCTTGGTTAGTTATAAAGTAGTATGCTCAAATACCATACACTCCATTAGGGACTTGAATATCTTTGTACGGATATTTATTGGTGCCAAAATCATAAGAATTTCCACCACAAAAACTGATGAAGACGTTTTCCCAGAATAATATTTAGACATATTGAAAAAAGGAAATAACAACACATGCATAGAAACACTGCTGCTTTCGAATCCGGTGCGTAGTATAAGTTATTTAGGATTCTGTTAGGTCTTAGAGCGAAAATGCTTTAAAACTAATGAATAGACAAAAGATACAGCACTTCTGAATTAATGTGTCTCACACTTTCATTAAGTAAAAAAAGACGCGTACACCTTATTAATATCGTAAATTTAAATTAATAAGGTTCGGCGTACAAATATGCATTTGTGGCACTAATTAAGCGAGCCTAAAGATTTTCGAAAATATTAGACCCATAGCAAAAACCATGAGCCACTCATAGCGCTTAGATGGCCAAAAGTCCCTTGTGAACAAGAACTTAAGGAACAGATGGATGCAATACATGTATTAGCTAAAAGTGACGTCCAAGATGCTATAACTTTGTTATCTTTATTATTTTTAATATATTTTAGTTCGGCTTACGGATTAATATATTTGGGCCCTACCCAAATATATGAATTTGTAAGCTCTAAAATGGCATTCACGATTATAAAGTAATATTGAACGGTACTAGTAAGATCCACAATGGACGGGCCAATCAAACGTCTAAGACTTTATTACTGAATGGTTGAAATCCCGCTCACTCAAACTGACGCACTTATGTATCGTCATAAGAAAGTATCCAAGACAAAATAAGGCACATTAGGCAAACCTGTTTAGACAAATACTTACCTAATCTTAATTTTCCAATTAATAGCACACTCACCGTCCACTCTTCTTTTTACAGTCCACACAGCATTTGGGTTGCCGGGAAGCTCTGAAACAGCCATCTCGCTCACTTCAAGACCGTGACGAAGCACTCTTAATGATGATCGTGGCCCCCTGCCACAAGCAGCGTATAGCTGGGGTGTATCTTCATTTGTGAGATCAGCCACCTGCGCAGTCATTATCGGAGCCAACGAATCTATTTCATCGACTAGCACTAGGTTCTTAAGTTCACGTGGTACAAAAAAAAATGTGTCTCCTTCTTCCAGTGGAATACTCGATGAGAACTCCGGTTCGTCTTGATTATCACCGAGGTGCGCAATTTGATATAATGCATGGTTGGCGAATTCCGAAGCAACGAAGAGAAATCCGGATTTGAGTACATGCATTGTTTGCGCAACGGGAAGTGTATCGAAGTATTTCAATTTAACTTCAGTTACCATATCCTCGTCACACTCGAGTGTGATCTTGAATATATCGCCTTGTTCAGTTTGAGCCAAGAAAAAAAACATGGACTTTGTCTTATGCTGTGTAGAAGACACAAAAATCATGCCCCTTTCTGGATCATCCAAATCGTTCCTACGACGTGGAATTGGGCATCTGATGTCGGGTTGATCACCAAAATTTTTATATGTTATAAAGTTTTCCGAGCAGACGAGCACACCTGACGGTCCATCTGAACCTCCTGGCACGGCAATTAGAAAATTACTGGCCTCTTCAAGAGATTCAGAGTACTTGCGGACTACATGGTTCAGACCAAGATCAAGCTCGTAGAACGTAAGAGTTTGTTGTGTAGATTTGGCAGCCTCCCCTGTATGATCATTGTCAGCTTCTTCGTAGTCGAGCTCAATGCACGCAAACATCGGATTTTCGAATCCAACATCCACGCCTACCATATGATAGACCAAAGTGTTACTTTTATGTGCCTCTAATGGTGACGATATCGTCAGACGGGCATTACTGTCTCGGTTAAGGATGTAGACAAGCTTCTGTTTTTCCACGGCACCAATCATAACGGCACGCCCTTTGGGATCACAGGCAAGATACTGGCCTGGAACAATTCGCCGACATCCCGATTTTCCAAAGGTTTCCATATGAACTTTTTCCAGGACATTTTTGGTTGGGTTGAACTCGAGAATACAGATGCGACCTGAATCTGAACCTAACACACAGAAAAGCAAGTAAATAAACACTAATAAACTGCTGAGCCTTCACTAATATGACAGCTTTATCTGCTTTTGATCATTTACTCGACACCATTACCTCTCTTTTTAAATAACTTACTCTCACTCTCTCGCATCGCCGGCGTAGTTGCTCGGATGCCTAAACTTCTAGTCAAAGAACCAGGAATTACTAGTTCAAGCGCCAATCCCGACGTAAACCACATTACATATAAGTAGAACAAGAAGTTATATATATATATATATATATATATATATATAGCAAAAGGAAAGCAAGGTCTGTTATCTGGGCAAAGTGAGGACAAAATATTGTAGAGTTAAGGAAGGGCCATTAAAAAACGACAAATCGGCAAAGGAAAGGCAAACGGAACCCTCAAAGAGGTATGTAAAATGGTATTTTTCACGTTTATATATATATACGTATATAAACTAGAGGATACTAATATCCTTAACCTTCTTGAGACCATTTATCAGTGTATTATTATTTTTGCTACTTTGGAACTTTCCGCAAAACTCAATATAATTTCTTTTCTAGATATAGTATGTTCCCAAAAAGGTTTCACTTATTTATTAGAAAGCTATCCAGTTTTACTCGCTAGACGTCAAAAGAGTATAATAATCTGGCTTTGGAGTTTTTTTGGACAAACTACTACGGAAGCTATGAAGTGCGCGGGCACCTGCTAGCCTGCTCTTAAGTTGCTAACGATTTAGCGCCCATTATCCAGATGGCAAACACACAGGAGGCATGCACATTCACAGAGAGAAAAGATTTGGTTGATATATTATTTAAATCTTGACTTTTTTGTTATCTCAAATAGAGGAAAAAGAAGCATGAGAGATATCACCTTTTTCGTGGTTACTTTGAACAGAATTGTAAACTTGCAAACGGGGCTACCGAATTCATACCATTGGCTCAGAAATGCTGTTGCTGCTGGCAGTGGGCTTTGCCTGTTCTGATTGGCGGTTTTTTATTTTTCATTTTGCGCTGTTAACTGTTGAGACTGAGTTGAGCAAAAGATTCACGCTGGTTCTGCATTAGATGATCCCAATTCAAGTTTTCCTTTTCGAAGTAATTCGCGCCGGATGCAATATACGTATGCTTTGAGTTTTTTCCAGTCCCCAAAACACTTTTTGAATTCTATCGACAAGATAGCTTTGAGCTCGATCAGCGATCTTTCTTTTCTTTCTTCTATCCTATCGAAACTCTTCCGCTTCGAACTTTTCTTCAATTTTGGGAAAAGGAAAATGCTGTAGGGGATTAAGTCCAATATGAACAGGAACTGAGGCAACGCAGACAATTGGTTTTCCTTCAAAAAAAAGCTGTACGAGTTCTGAGGGCCAGTGCATTGATGTGACAGAGGACTCGGAACTTCTGCCACAGTTCTAACCTTCCGCATCAGATAGAGTGGAGCAATTCTCTTAAAAATTATTTATAATCCATTGGTGACCGAAAAGACGGACGTCATGGAATCGTGTGACTTTCTTTAGTTGGAATTCGCTTTTAAACTAATACTCAGAAAATCATATCTTGGCTTCCTCGTTATAGTCGTACGCCAATGTCAAGTTACCTATAATAATATGTTCAAGCAAGCTTGGCTCTTCTTAAAGTACCAAAAGGTTTAGGCAACCCAGTTTTTCGCGGCTGTCCATCTGCTGGACGTTCAATCGTTTCGGCACAAATTTTTTTGTAAGACTTCTAACGCCTAAATAGTAAGTAAAAACGGTCTGATATGAGACAATCCTTGCCTTTCGTGTCAGTTTTCTGTGATGGTTTAGCAAGTGACACGCCTGAGTCGCCTCACCTTTTCCACATTCTCGTCGATGGTCGCTCTCATATGCTTTCCAGGATGACGATTGTTTTCGGTGGATTCCTATCCGTCTCCGAAAAGCATGAACAACCTGTTTGCCTGAACTTTACTTAATGTATGTTTTTCATAAACATTCCGCAACATCGACAGGGTTTCTATTTCGTTGATTTTACTTTCCGCAGAATACCCAATGCATGGCCGTTACTTCATTTTGAATACAGAACGATTAATTTATAAACATAACCTCACCGAAAAACTCAAGATTGCATCAAATTGCTATGAAATTTTACCTGTGTGTAACAGAAACCCTGCTCGTTTTATCAAAACAAACGTAGATTACAAATGAGCTTCCAATGGCATAAAAATTCGATCGACCTCTTCGTTTTTACACGAAAAGCATATGCTCAGACACCCCATTTTTATATTGAAATAAGAAAACGTATCTTGGAAGCCTTTGTTGCTCCTACGATACGAATCTCATTTTGTTTCAAAGATCATATATAATGAATGCTAAGATCAGGTAAGCACTACTCCTCTGTTTCGGCACATGCAAGTTCTAAATAGATTTATGGTATCAAAATAATTGAGATTTTTTAACTCACCGACAATAAGGTAGTCCTTACTCCCTCCAGTCAGCCTAAACCCGGCGAGACTGCGAATTACACCAAATACATCCGTAGCGTAAACTGTGTGAACTTTTCCGGTATTCGGATCAGGCTTAAGTATTTCCAGAATTTTCCCTTTCGCTACAGCTATCTCTTGTTGCTTGTGACCAGAAAAGTTCCCATGACATGAAGCGGTTATCGCAGTAGCCCGCTGCAGCGTCAGATTGTACAGGAACATCGAAGTGGTTCTGATCTGCCCCTTTAAATGAAAACCCACATAATGCAATTAGATAGACACATGCTACCATTAGAACGTCTAGCTTAGGCTACTCCTTCATATTTAGCGTTTGCTTATAGCAAAGCTTTTCTAATGGTATATTTTATTTTCATCAGAGCCTCAATGCCAAAATTCGTTACGAGACATATATAACTTGAAGAGTAAAACTAACTTTTATGTGACCAGTTAAGAAGTTCTGCTTGCACATTTTTAACTGGCTGAATGGGGCTTTACCTAAGTTACCAGACAAAGATAACGTACTCAAAACTGATGTTCACTACAGTCTAATATATTGATATAGTTATATTAAGCATGAAATAGTCAAGTAAAAGCATGACGTCAACTACAAATAGAACTAGGTCTTCTAAAATACTTCATATTTGTACGATTGACAAAAAAGCTCTAGATCTCGTTAAAATGCACCCTGTATAAAAACAGTTATGGGGAACACGGAAATTATGATGTTGACTAACTTCGTTAAATATGTCTTGTTTCTTGTACTTGCTAGATTATGTGTGTCAAAAAACATATGGTATGATGAATGCAATATGTACGATGTATAAACACCGTTTTTTTAGCTGCAAAAGTTTTCCAAATAGGAGAAAGACTTAGCAGTTTAATAACTTTAATTTGAAATTTCCTCCGCTAGGCAGGTATTGCCGCTGAGGCAGCCGCTCATGCCGCTTTAATGGAACGGTAGTAGATGAATACACCACTTATGTAAAGTAAGGAATTTAGAGAGCATAAATCGTATATGAACACTAATTAGAGTAAATGATCCTATAGAAGCACATGGATCCAGTAACTAAAGTTTAATTATAACGGTAGCCCAATTTATCAAACCCACTGTTTTTTACTAATATTTAACTCTTGAAAGTATAAAAACAGTATAGAAGAAAAGGAGTTTTTATCTTCTTGGCTGTGCATGAATTTAGAAATCAATCAAAGAATTAGCATGAGGTAGTGCCCATTGAATTAAAAGTCTGAATCTTTTTAGAAAAACAATTGATTATTTTGCGACTACTTTTTGCAGTGATGTGCCAAGACAAGGTGTCAAAAACAACAATCTTCAATTTGAAGGAGTTAATGTAATGTAAGCAAACTATGTAAAACGAAATGCCCCAAGTTACCAACCGTTATCGTATGCCCGTTATCTATATAGTCTCAATATCTGAAAAGCCTATTAACAGTTCGTACAAAAGCATGTTGAGTTTTCTCAGCTGTCATAGCTCAGTTTCGATAATGTCTGTTGTACTAACCTTGACAATGAAAATTGAGCACAATTAGGCATATACATATGACTAATCAGCCAATGTCAATACATCTAATAATATAAGGTTCACTCTAACTAAATTTCACTGATAACTATTTAGCAAGTGATATCATTACTTAATCAGAAACATTTTTTGGTTCCTTGAAACGGGTGGCATCGTTAGGGTATTGGCAAAGAAGCTGCAGAAATATTGTGAAGAGCCCACTATCAACGGGAACAATGGCTGTCAACATTCACGTTGTTCATGTCTCGCGCATAACAACACGGGTTATGTATGTATTAGCGTGGTTGGTAGTCAAAAAACAAGAAATCACCGCAAAAACTGTTGAAATGAACAACCCGTAATCCTAAAGCGTTTCAATTTTTGCGCGCTAAATTGACTGTCAGACAACAGGGAAATAGTAACTTCAATATTATCGGCTCAAATAATTATTTAGAAAAAATGTTCGGTTAGTTTATGACTTCTAATTTATAAAACCTAATTTCACAGGCATAGTTTCGTGCCTGTGATAAGCAAAGATTCCAGGTCTTTTTCATCTAGAGGCTCGAAGCTGTCTAAGTATCTCAAAATAGATTAAAAAGCAAGCCTCATTTAACACAAGCTTTTGTTCTGGGTATTGCATGAAAATTTACGTTTTTTAGATGTATCATTACATATACTTCAACCATTCATCATCGCCCATATAATTAGTCAATGCTCAGTGCAAATATGTGGCCTCAAGGTTTTTACCCCGTCAAGCAAACAAACAAGCTACCTGCGATTAGTTCTATGTTACATCCTAAAATGAGTACAGTTAAATATACAAAGCCATGCTACTCAAAAAGGCATATCATATAAATCGGTCCTGTGCAATACTGGGGCTCCTAGTCATCAGCTTTTTTTTCTTAGTATCAGACAACATTTCTTTCATATAGTAGCTTACAAGGTCCTTGCTGACGATATCTACATCCTTGCTAACGCGAAAAGCGGCCGCAGTGCGGCGGTCCTACAAAAGGCCATGGTAGGATTGCGGAATGGCGCCAGGTAAATGACAGTATCACTCATGTCACAAATCTTCATCATTTGTGGTGTTTTGCAACAGGCAAGGAATAGATTTAAAACAAAACTTAGATATCAACCCATCACATACCCAGGCTCGCGGTTATACAGATTTATACGCTTCCCAAACAATTGCGATGCAATTACCGAAGTAACATAATCTAGTCCCTAAAATAGAGTATTAGAATAGCTTCAGCAGGGTAACAAGATGATTTCTTATATGCTTATCTCAGACATAGGATGAGTAATAAAAAATCGTTTTTACGTAAGTCACTTTCCGAATAAGTTGTCTTTTTCCAACAATAATTTTTACCAAAATGCATATCGTATCAGCTCCTACGATTCCCCAATATACATTTACAATAATTTTTCAGATAACAATCCATTAATTTTTTTTAAGGAAATTCTCACAAACTGTTAGAGAAACCGATATAAAGACCTAGCCCATTATTAAGTAGATATTATGTTAAGGAAAGGATTTGGGATATTCAATCGTCATTACCTTGTTCAATTTACTATAAGCTACAAGAAGTTTACAGAGTTTAATCATGGTAACCTTCCCAACGACAAGGTAACCTACACGGTAGCCGCATCTCTATATAGAATCAAATATCGATAACTATATAAATTATGATTCTTTGAGGCTCTTATATGCAAGTGGGTCTATATTATAGAGATAAATATACAAAAAAAGTATTTAAGACTCATTGTTAGAGACAGCAATCTCGTAAACAGAACCATAGCCAGATCAAAAGAACTGACTTGAACTAAGACCCGCAGGAGACATCACGGGAGTTCACTCTGCTAACGCTTGATAAAAGTAATTTTTTAAAAATACTCAGTTTTCTGGTAAAAAAAAATATGCAACTTTTTAATAAAATGTAATGAATTCGTCTTAGACTAATATAAGCCATAAGCGTTAAATATTTTTTTTGAGAAGGTTACGGACGAAAATAAATGTATTGCTCATAAAGAATATGCTGAAATATTCCGAAACTTTAGCACACTTGGCCCACAGATTAGTCGCCGCGCGAAAGCTTTAAGTATCTTTCCTTTACTTAACAGATTTCCAAATAGCTGCCTTCACAGCATCATTAGTACCTCTGAAAGTCCTTTTGTTGTTTGTAAAAGAAAAAATCCAGCGAGACAAATTTGGAACAGATGGAACAAGTATGACGGCCTCAATGATCTTAAAAAAAAAGTTTTTTTTAGAACAAAAGCGACATTGTTGTGCGACGTGAATGATGTGTTCTATACTAACATGGGACGTTGAGGAGCCAGAGGCACACCGCTAGAGCACTATAACACTAGGAAATTTGGTAGAATTAAATACGATTGTTAAGAGAAAGATTCGGGGTCTAATAAACAACTTGATATAAAAGCACCTTCGCGCATTATAATTACGATCCTATTTTTTGGCACTTTTATGAAGATACGGCAGGACAGTATATACAGCGGGTTTTAACCTTTTGCGGGAACGAGGAATATTATATCGGTATACATGCAATAATGATAAAGTCATTGAATAGGCATGTGCATACTTGACAGTCCTGCTCATTATGTACGCGACTTACCTCGTTTAAATAAACAGTATACAGAACGGCCAACGTAAGACTGTAGTTTTAAAACGTTTTTAGTGTTGGATATGTCAACGGATATGTCAATCTAATAACAAATGCACATATATCTATCAAATCCTAGTGTAGGATACTTTACTGCAAGTATCTGCTTATTGAAGATACCAATAAACACTGGATATCCAAGCCTTCACTAATTTGGGGTTCATAGACACCTATTTCTTAGACGTTCATTAAGAACGCCGATCGGCGCGCTGACATAGTGAGTTTGTTATCAAACATCGCCATGTTTGTTAAAATGCAGACACTTTGTGGTAAATCGCACAGGATGGGTAACCTCTAGAGGTTAACTCGGAGTCTGCAGCCTTAACTTGTTAAAAAGTTGTTATCTATAGGGCCAATAATGTACCTATTTCTATAAAAGGAGTGAAATCAGAAACAGAAATTACAAGCAGCCAATCGGATTCCGTTCCTTCCATATATCCGTTGAGTAAATAAAGCGCGGAAGATGTGCACCTTGCATTTGACAACCGAAAAAACAAGTTATATGTGCACCCATGCCGACGTTTTATCAGTAAGAGTAGAAAAGTTAATCTCTTGAAGCGTTTTAATGCTTGTAGCGTTAACATTGCATTCACCAACACATAAACATGTTTAAGTTGACTGAATATTATTTAGAATTTAGTTGAAGTAACTTAGGAATTTTATTAGACTGAAAGACAAGACTTGAAATGCCAACTTGAGTGAATATTAAGCGATGGAAGTAAAAGTAATTTAGCTATTGCAAGCCACTGAGGTAAGTCGACCCTGATAATTGTGAATCATGCGCTCAATCAGTTGCCATGTATTTTGCGAGCGCTAATTCCCGAGCTTATGCTAATGAGTTATAATATAGATAATCTTAATAATAATTATTATTTTTTTTATGGAATTTGCCTAATGACTATTTTTTAAATCTATACTGTATATGGTACCAGTCATTATCACCATAACGGTTCATTTTAAAGTACAAGTTGATTATCAAAAGCGAGTTATTCCAATATGAGCACTCATTTTTGGCCCCCTGGCTTAGTATTTATTCACCACTTGAATTAACATAGTATGCTCTCATCTTCGAGCCTACTATGTTGCGGTTATGCAAAAATATACGACCTTAAAGATAAATTTAAGAGAAATAACTTCAAAGATCCTGTCCTATTACTTATTTCTCTTTTTCTTCCTTCTAATTTTAAAAGACATAAGCGTTTTAATGTCTCAAATCTTTACACCAATCCTAGTAATATTTATTACTTAATAAGAAAACAAGCACAGGTACCAAAGTGCAAAGGGGGATGAGCGAGAGTATGATGTCTATTAAAAATATAAACCGAGTGGTATAATGGTTACCGCACCTATTCTGCTGAACGCAAGAGCTCCACCGAAAATGACATAACGAAATAAAACCCCATCTGCAAGTTGAACGTAAACCCCACTCATAAACCTTTGTAATCACCAGCATAGCATAGAGATTTCTTAGATTGCGGCGTTGGGAGACTCGAAGATAGGCACCCGAGCTAGTAGAGGTGCACCTTTTGCACATGGCTCTCTTGTCCGTAGCAGCCGTAAAGTGTTTATTTGTTGCACAAATCTTGACCGTTGTGAACAGTATCTGAGCTATAAATGTCTACAAAAGAATTTGGCATGCAAAGACGTTCCTTAGTCTTTTAGGGTAGCTAAGTTAAAAATAAGCGACGTCAGCATATATTTTATTATATGAAATGACTAGTTTTTTTAGTTGCTCGGAATGCGTAAGGGAAAATATAGGTTTGAGTCATCAAGAACTCCCCAACAAAAGTGTCTAAGTCATTTGTAATCTTTTTATAATGGAGATTTACTCATTTTCTTTCTCATTCCTGCGCCACCTAGAAGATGTCATTGTGGCTGAGCATTGTTCGATACCAAGAGAGGTGTTGAGGAACAATTTTGTTTTTATGCTTCTTTGTGCGATCTGCCCAGTCTGTGGAGAACTGTGGCTTTTAATTTTTAACAAAATGCTACACATTTAAGATGTCTGGCTATTCATGAGTGTTTGCGGCGGATCTTCTTGGCCAATTAATTAGCTATTTACAATCCGAGCTCTTCATTGACCAATGGATGGCCGACGCTGACTGTGAGTGTATCCTCTAGATTCAACATCTTGTCTACTTGATAGTTTAATGGGTAACATGTGGTGGTTTAGATTCGAACCCAGGCATAAATACACTTTGTTTCGTACTAAGAGCTGGCCGTTCGATGGAACGCCTAACGCCGATACCATACGTAAAACTCGAAGCATTTAGGTTTAAGATTCCAACAGCAAGCCTCTCGATTGTATCAGACTATTACAACCTATTTGCAATTGAGTAAATGTTGAACTAGGTGAACTAGAATGACGCTTGTGTCAGTGTTCTGGCAGCTTCAGTACAGCCATGTACCACTTGTGCTCCCATATATAAATTATTACGAGTGTTCTCTTCCAAAGTTACGGAATTGGTCCAGGAGTTTCAGCAAAAGTATTACCGAGCTCTTTTTTGAAAGCTCATCAAGACTATAAGTTTTCACTACCAATATCTTTGTCGATGTGTCAGTAAAAGATATTTGGAGGCACCTTAATGCAACAAATACGTTGGACTTAAATATTTGAGGGATGAATTGACCTAATAAATCTTCCGTACGCGACATGATTCAATGGTGCACTTAGTTCCGAAAACTGACATACGGTTGGCCCTTAGCACATTATGGCGTTATAAGAATTTAATAGTGTACATGTTTTTTAATGCTAAACGGAGTGAGTATGTCGGATAGTGACTGACTCGACGATGCCTTTTGGGGAATTTCTGTTTCTTGATATTCTTTTTTTTTGAAGGAGAAGGCTCGGTGGAATTTGGTGGAGTAATAAAAAATTTTCTTCAGACCTACGAAGTATTACGCATAAAATTTTAAATAATATATCTTAAAAAGAACGTTTTAACGATAGTTTTGTGAGATAGAAAGTATTATAAGATTTATGACAAGAACAAAACTAAACGAGCCCGTAAGTTAAGAAGGGAAGCGATTTCCTTGTAGTGGTGAGTGTTAATTCTTATCAAGAAAGCTTTTACGGTTAGTCTTGTAGGATTGAAATGAAACCGGTAATCTATTTTTTCATTACAAAACGTTATATTCACCTTCAACTGTGGACTTGCCGCACTATCTAATTAAACGTATTTACGAGCTGCCAAAACGTTGAACAATGGTGATCGAAAAAAAAAAAAAATTACTCCCCTCATCATGGAACAGCGTTGATAATGCTAATGATCGCCCGAATGATTGAGCAGAATATATTGTACAATATATCACTTATTTATTTAGATATTCTTAGGATGCAAGTTGTGTTCATTAACAGTGAAAACATTGAAAATAAAGTGCATTTTTTGTTGACAGTGTGTTTCCCATAAACTCAGAAAAGTAATTTTAAAATGAATCGGTTCAAAATAGGGGGTCAAGTCTTGGCTCAATGCAGATCTCTGTTACTCGCCAGTTGACAAACTTACTTGCTTTAAAATATCGAATTTTTGGCAGTGACTTAAAGGCAGTTAGTAAAAAAAACTGAGATTTGGACCATGGAGTGTTAGAGGCGAAATGGATATTTGATTTTATAGAGACCTTTTGGAGCGACAAGCAGACAGCCTTATTTATTATATTATGCCTTAGTATATTTCTAATAACGAAGGGTTTGATGCCAACTTGTGTACCCACATTCCAAGTATCGGAAAGCTGCCATAGTCCGAAGATGAACAGGTTATATATAACGTATTGCGCATATGTAGAGCTGGAAACGTTGTAAGGCCTGAAAAAATTTAAAAAAAAACGTCTTTTGGAAATAGCTTCATAATGCACGACAATTGAACTTGACGATGAAGAAATAGAAACTTTTATTCAAAAGCAAATACAATTATTTTATTAGAAACAGCGAAGTATAAGTCCTATGAAATAGATTCCCACGTACAGCATTCAAGCGAGCATGAAAGGAATCGATGTTCTACGACTAGTTCATCACTGCGAAACCTCTACAGTACTATTGGACTTACCGTGTTATAACTGCGGACAATCTTTTTACCTGCGGTATTTGTAAGTTGAAAAAGACTGAACCCTGTAAGACTAATCCTGAAAGATGTAATAAGTTTCTTTTCGGTCACTTGTTTTATTTCCTACTGTAATGTCCTTTTTTATTATACAAAAAATAGGTTAAGAAGTTTTGAGCTAAATTTGATATAAAGTAAGAAATTATTAGTAGCTTCAGGAATTCAGAGTCTCTGTTGGCTCTTTAACTTTCGCTGTTCCTAAGACAAACATTTGGGTTACGGTGATAAAACTTAGCACAATATTAAATATAATTTTCAAAATTAAAACGTCAATAATGCTAAGTACAAAATCGTTCGCGTATTGGTAGCAAGTGGTTATCGCCATTTTATCTGTGTGATAACTGGCAACACAACCCATCAACACCGACGTATCAACAATACCGACAGTGACCTATCAAGGTTCATGCATTTGCCACTTTCTTACACATCATCCATATAATACGTACACGGAAATCTACGCAACACTACCTAGTTATTTTCTAAATATAACCTAAGCCTGCCGAAACCAAGGTAGGTGGAGTTGTTCTACCAGCTTATTGGCCTATCTGCATTATCGTTACGTCCGGTTTCCTAGTTCAATTTTTGCCGTTTCAGTAAGCCTCCTCCATTGTTCGAGTTAGCTTACTTTCCTGTGTTATCGATTACTCTGTTTTAGCAGGTCGATTGCTTTACTTTAATAATTTTGCTACATTGTTCGGGTTATTCAGTTATCATGATTTAGGGGGTCCACTATTACGTTCTAGTTGTCCTGTAACTCTGTAGCAAGCGTTCCGTGTCTATCATCCGTAGTGCAACAACAATCTTTACTATGTTAATCTTGATCCATTTTACTACTCCCGTTATTCTGTCTCAATATCGAACTGATGTTTGGCTTTCAAAATCGCTTGCATATATTAAGCCGCTTATAAAAGCGGGCGAATAATCAAGTAATACGGAAACATCCGTGTGTGTTCGTGTTCCTATAAAATGACTATATTTGGCGCTTGGCGCAATTAAGGATTTTTTTTTTCTCGTAATTTTCAAATTGTATTATGTAACTATTATGTAGAGCCTGAAAGCTCTTCTGTCTAGGCATATCACAAATTCATAACACAACTGCCAATTTTTTAGACATCTGTTAAACATATAGATTATTTCCCAGTTTACGTTAGGACATAGAAAAATATTTTTATTTCTACTATAATAACAACTCTTCTCAGATATATTGTTTTTGTTCTAAAAAGTTCGGCAGGGTGCTAGCATACAAACTCTTATTTTGGTGTCTATGGTACCTTCTGGACTGTGTTCATTTTATTCTAGAGTTTACAGGATGCAATGTGTGTTGTGCTGAAATGTTCTCGTCTACCGAACTTAAGACGCTTCAGTTAGCGCTACCTACTCTAAACTCTCTATCTGTCGCTGATTTGGAATGCCTGTGCAACGCTGCAATAGCTCGTATCAAAGCTGAAACTACACCATCCAACGAAAGGCACCTCGGTAAACAAAGAAATCGTTTTTTTTTAATGCTTTTATCTCCTGCGTTTTATCTGCATTTATTATCTGCATTTTGTTTCCTAATAAGTCATATAAAAAAGTAATATATTCCTTTAGTGAGGATGGACTCTTCCTTGCAATCGTTAAGTGAGCGTGAGTACTAACACTGTCTAGATATGCAGTGCTGTAGAAAAATTTTAACGCGAAAATGATCTAAAATTTATGCAACATTAAAACCCCAATGCGGTCCCCAGCTTGATATGTAACGACTTATGAAACTTAGTGGACACTAGTGAAAGTAATGATTAAAGCAATAAAGTTGCTGGCCACAGTTGTCACGCGAGATCGTTCGAAACGGATTGGTAGGTCAGAGGTGTATCTGAAACTCGCGCTCCTAAGTTACTAGCCGGTAGTATAAACCCAGCGTGTATATACACGCAGCGAATGTTAATGTTTATAGTTGGAATTTATGCAGCCATTATTAACAAAGAAACGCTTTATAGTGCGGTATTATTTATCACCAACACAAGAGTATCTTAATTAGTATTCGAAATTAGATAAAAGCGTGTACCATCGGAAAAATTTCGGTCAAGAATAGCATTCTCACATGCTACTCAATTGCCTTAAGAAAGTAATACACTTACTTTCTGTGATAATTTTT